GGGGGGGGGGGGTGGGCTAGCAGGAGCTAAGGGTGGGGCCCAGGCCCCCCACCTTTAATCCGCTCCTGTTTGTAATGCTTATAATGTTTTGTAGCATAGATAATTACTAATTAGTTAATTAGATTTACCGTTTTCTCCGATCCTGAACTTTTCCTAGATCCATCATCAACAGGTTCACAGGGTTTCTTAGCTCCAGGTTCAATATCAGATCCATCCTTGATTTCTCCGTCCTTGATACTCACATCTTTAACTTCTCTATCTTTGTCTTCAGCGTCTTTTACTTCCACGTCTTTCTGTACCTCTCCGTCCTTGAACAGCTGATGATCTAGTGAGATTGCATATGGCCATCTAGATCGTATAACCTCCCTGAAAAACATAATTATAATTATTATTAGTCTATACTATACTTAAAACTTAATGAAAACAACAGCAGATTTAAAAATCAGTGTAATTTTCTCCTTCATCCTTAATCAAAAACCAATTTGGAGTATTTTTATTAAAAAATGTCAAAAACGGTCGGAAAAATGTAAAAAAAAATTAATTTTTCAATTTTTAACACGTTTATATTTCCATTTTTCAATGGCTTTTTGAATACAGAAAGTTATGGCGTAACTTTTTTGCACTGACCGGTTTTGACCGTCCTTCACATAAAATCCTTCAAATTTGAAATTTCTGCTATTTTAAAAACAAGAAATTTCAAATGAGATATTGTCAAAAATGATTGCTAGGGCAAAAACCCTGGGCGCTGAACGCCCCCTACCTCTCCAACCTGTTTAGTGTTAAACACTTGGTACCCCCTCTCTGACCACTGTTGAATACGAATGAAGATGAAACATAAGTTGAACAAAAGTTTTACAACTCGATAGTTTTAAATTGAAACTTAAGGTTCCAACCATGTTTGATTTTCATTCTTAAGCGATATGTAGGGCCATTAAACGGGAGGATGGGGGAGGACAACCGCATGACCATGACGACGAAGGGCTGCTATGAGCCTCCCGGATTTGCCATACAATACCGAATCTCCGAATTATGGATTAAATTTTATACACTAAACATTTCCTTCGCAGAAATAAAAATAATGAAAGAGTAAAATCTGGCATGAATTTAGTTGTTTTGTTATTCTGACATTTTAATGAGGCAATATCATTATTTTTGAGTGTACAAATTCGGATACTTCTTAGCGACAATAACTTTACAATAAACGATTTATCAAAATTATATTTTTTATAACAAAGAGTCGCTAAATCAAAGATAGCAAATATCGAATGTAATTCAATATTCACTTCTGCAGAAATTGAACTCTAAATGTTTTACTTATCGGGTTAGATCGTTTTAAGTTAAGAAAAATACTTGAGGCTCGGTTCTCCATGGCAATCCAAGGAGGTCCACAGTCCCTTCCACCAATCACACCTTACCTAATGACGTTAACTTCTTCCAATGTAGCTCCACTAAGTCTAAAGGCAAACGCACAGAAGTTAAAACTGATTTCTCTCTATTTAAATTATAAACCAGAAGATCTTATTTCGTGTGGTTAAACAAAAGGGACCTTGCACGATTATTTCCTAATCAGACAAAGCTTTTAACGGCACGGTTGTGAATCTTATATGCCACGCGATAAATGAAGAGTGATTTAACATTATGTTAACAGTCCCTTTAAGGAGTTAAATATTTTGTGCAGTTGATATAGAGTTCAGGGACTAGAAAAGTTCAACCTCCAAAGTTATAAACCTTGTTTATTATCAATGTGCAGTGTGCCTGATGGTGTTCCCCTTGACAAGGTGCAGGGTGAGGGTGGAGGAGGCGACCAGGTTCGAGGAGCGGAACATTATCAAGCTCCCAGTCGGGCTCTATGCACAGGATACACAACAATGGATTGGAGTGACAGTTTCGAGGATTTTACATTAAATAAGTTTGAAATGGTTTTGTGGATTAATTAGAATCTGTTTAAAGGGAGAGTGACTGGCTAAGTATGGTAGTTGAACTGATAGTGCAGTATTATAAAGAAAAATATTGGAATTAATTTGATGTTTATAAAACGTTATTAAGTCCTAGAATTGCTTTAGAAGACCGAAAATTCGCTCTTTAGAAATAACGAGAAGGGATCATTCTGGTGGCTTGCTCTCACCTAATCTTTTTCAATAAAACTGCACTCTCAGTTCAACTACCATATTTGGCCAGTCACTTTCTTTAATATCAATTTATTTTCTTTTGATGTTTGTAAAAATAAAGATATTAATTACAGTCAGGACCATCTAAAAGTAACTGGTTTCCGTGAAAGACATGTGAAACGATTTTTTTTGTATAGAAACATCTTATAGAAATAAAGAGAAATAAAGAATACCAATAAATTCAAAAAAGGTACATCTTGAATCCCCTTTTTTTACAAAGTTTTTAATTCAAAACGTGGCGATAACGGCCCCGTTTAATAAAACTAAAATCATTTTCTCGTTAGATGCAGTTTTAGATTGGATATATAGTTGAATTCGTAAAATTAATTTTAATATATTTAATTAACTGAAATATTAGTTTAAATTTGAATATGCTTAATTGAACCTCTGATGGTAGAATAATATTGAGCATGTTTAGTGCACAATTAGGTTTATTAAAGAGAGGGGTTAATGTAGAGAACCTTATCATTTAGTTTAAAATCAACTCATTTCATAAATTTCTACTTCGTCATGTCAAATTCGTTCGTGCAAACTTCTTAGAACATGTGAGGGAGGGAAGGCAGCCACACTGTTTTTTTTAAATATCGAGGGAGAGAAGGCAACTGCAATCCTGCTATATTTATGGTATAGCTGAATTTATTCAATCTTTGATATTGAATTATTTTCATGAAAATTGTGAAAAAATGAAATCAAGATTTAAATATGGCTAAAATACACAATACCCAGAGGGGGGACCTCCACGTGCATTGAAGATATAGAATTGTGAAAAGTTGAAAGACAACAATAGTTCTGATTTATAAACGTAAACTTTGTAAACTCTAGTATTCCCAACAGAGCTGAGTGTAACCTGGTAAACTGTATTTTAACATGAGAAAGATTATTTTTCTATTTCTCACAAAGTAAAATCCTAACATTATTTATTTTAAAACAAATTGCCATAAGAAGAAGTAATTATCATAACTGACTGAAATAAAATAATAATTTAGTTATTGTGTAAAGATTAAATTTCAGATTTCCGATGGACAAATATGATGGTCTTTACAAAAATATTCAAAGACGTCATAGTATCGGTATATTTTTGAAATATATTTAAAATATTTTGAATTAGGAGGGGAAGGGGACCGGGGAGGGTCAACTATTAGATGAGAATATATGAAATGGTTANTATATTGAATGAGAGGGGTAGATAAAGTGTATTTATGTCCCTGTATAGATGAGAATATATTGAATGAGGGGGGTAAATGAAGTGTATTTATGTCCCTGTATGGATGAGAATATAGTGTATGAGGGGGGGGTAAATAAAGTGTATTTATGTCCCTGTATGGATGAGAATATAGTGTATGAGGGGGGGGGTAAATAAAGTGTATTTATGTCCCTGTATAGATGAGAATATATTGTATGAATGTTGGCAGAATGAAAAGACCAGGTTTGAATAAAGAGCAGACTCATCAACTGAACAACAATCATAATACATTAATAAATATATTAAATANTGTCCCTTAACCAACTAGTTTGAAATAACTACATGGTTAAAGGATTAAATCAAAAAAGATATTATTTCAAAACTCGCAAATATATAAATCCCAGAAAATAGATCTATTGAAACTTCCCAAAACTAGATCTTAGCAAATAGTTATTTCCTTTAAATATTATGAGAGTATGATTGTTCCTGGAGCAGAGAATAGAAATCCTTCCTTCCTCTCCAACCCTAGATCCCCAGATATTCGTCCTGATATCTCAGGATTAATATTAAACAGTTCTACTTCACCCTGTTCAATACTTAGCCCAGCCAAGGCCTGTTGTCCAATACCAGGAAGAATCCTATAGAAAACCGGTTTAAATAATTCTATTCGTATTTTCACACAGTGCAAGTTCAAGCGGAGGTTCAAGTTAATAAACAGAGAGAAGTAGTTTAAGATTTAAAACCTATTTCAAATTCTAATACATCAGAGACCGAATTTAAAGAATATGAGCCGCGACTCAAATTTGGTTGGTTCCACTTAGAATTGTATTAAATTTTTCAAGATTTAAGCTGGCGCTTAATTGAAACCGGTTTTTAGAGGATTTGAGACGCGGCTTAAATTCATTATATTAGGACACTGATTGTTTGTAAAACACTTCAAACGACTTGAAAAAGAATGAATAACTTGAAGAATAACCTGGAATCATGTTGGAAGAGGAGCAAGGACTCCTGTGACCCCTGGAGCCTGGTACAGGTCACAAGCTTCCACTGCCTAGAGAACATCTTGTAGGAGAGATCAAGGAGAACAAGGTTCAGGTTTAATCCAACCCGGAACTGGGACGGGCAGAGAGGATCCTCCTGAGATTCACGGAATTTGGGTGGAGGAGCAATAATGTTGCTAAGGAAGGCTTTATTCCTGAGGACTACACCCTTACCAGGAGAACCAGGGGATCCCTCCCGCATAGCTTCGGATTCCACTTTCCGTGGTGTTTGGATCAAATTGCTGATTTTTGCAGATAATTCGTTTACTTTTGCAGCGGCTTCTAATTCTTTTAGCTCTATTTCTTTCTGATTTGATTTATATTTCGTAATTTCTCTAGAAACAGTTTCGTGGGTTTCGATAGTAACCGTTACATTTGTTTGACTTGTAACAATTTTAATGGATTCTTCGGCTGTGGAAGCGATTGTTTTCTCGTCCGTGGGCACACTAGTTAGGTTGGTTTCAGATTCACTAGGTTGCTTGGTTTCAGTATCACTGGGTTGGTTGGTTTCAGATTCACTGGGTTGCTTGGTTTCAGATTCAATAGGTTGCTTGGTTTCAGATTCACTGGGCTGTTTCGTTTCAGATTCAACAGTTGGTTGTGTATTATGTATACTGGATTCTTTGGTGTCATATTCACTAGTTAGTTTGGTTTCAGTTTCTCTGGTTTTCTCTTCGGACAATACTTCGGATTCTTTTAATATAATTTCAGATTCAACTTCTTTCAATTGTGAACAGTTATCATCACCAGATTTATCTTTAGGATCTATAAACTCTTCTGGAACCGGTTCAATATCCTCAGTTTTCTGAGCTAATTCTTCCTCACTCTTTTTATCCTCTTCCGAGATATATCCACTCTCTCCCGTCTTCATCGGTTCATCCGGAGTAAGTGTATCTGGAGTTCCTTGTTCTACGCAGCAGTTGTTTTCCAGTTCTGAGGGACCTGGTAAACTTGGCTCTATGCAGCAGTTGTCATGCAGTCCTGAAGAACCTGGTAACCTTGACTTTGAGTTCGTGAAAGACTTGTGATTATCTTGATTAGATTGATTAGCTAACTGTTCAGAGACATGATGCAGTTCAACATTGGTTTCTACTGAACACTGAACAGGTGACTCTACGCGGCCAGAGGTTACATTGTGCTCTATTAATTTTTTGGTTTCCGTAACAGTAGTACTGTCATATGTTGAGATCTTATCCAAGGAATTTGCAAGTTCTTTGTGACTAATCTCTTTAGATCTTCGATCAGGTTTACTCGTAGACTCCACGCAGTTTGGATTCTTGGGCTGTTTAGCCTCTTGTTCAACACAACTCTTGACTAAATTATTAACCTCAATAGTGCAGTTGTCTCCTGGGCTTAGAATTTCTAGAATATTCTCATCCTCGCGTCTCCTAAACAGGTGAATACTGAATATTGTATAAGAATTTAATTGCATTTTCATAAAAAAACAATTTNTTTTTGAGGATCTAGGGAATGAAAAAATGCATATCAAAAGGCAAGGTTTTTCACCTTTATCATACTTTTCCAAAATAAATTACCAATTTTCCTCAATTAAGTGAATAAAATCCTAAAAAAACATACATTACTAATAAAAAAAATTATTTAAAAAAATTTGGAAATAAATTATTTTTCACAGAAAATATACGCCCCTGAGAATTTTAAATCACAATACCTTAAAGATATTGCAATACATTCTATCCCGGGTGCAGGAACCATTTTCCTTTTTAATATCCAAGTGAACATCTCATAGGTCTAAATCAATATTATACAATTAAACTTATATTTGATAGATCATCATTTTCAAAATATGTCTAAGCAAAATAATTCAAAATTTTAAAGTTTAAATTATTGAGACAATTTTAAGATTTGAGTTAAGGGTAACCTGAAGGTTTGATGGGTTGCGAGTAAGGTTGCATGAGGAGATAACGTCCCAGGAAATACTAGACAACCCAGAGAAGAGATCCAATACAAATCTTGATCTCACAGACTCGTCCTGGATCGATCCTTCAATAAGTCGAACCCAGAACTCGTCCGGAGTATCCTCTTCCTTCGTCCCAGGTTCTTCACTAGTAGATTGATCCTCCGAGTTGAAAACATTCTTTATCGAGGTTTCGACCACATTATGAATCTCTGCTGTACCGTGAACAATCCGAACCTCGCCGGACATGGACTCATGATCTCCTGTCGACCCCCTACCAGATCTAACCTGTACCCGGAGAGTGAGGGTTGCTAGTCCAGGATCATATTCAGCAGGACGAACTGATAAACTGTGGAAACTGAAGGATGACGGAACCTGAATGAAAAACTCAATTCTGAATAAATTCTTTAAAATCTAATCATTCATGTTTCTTTCAGATAATATCTTAGGGACCTAGGACATTCTATAGTTGGACATTAAATAGACTTTGACATTTCCTCATACGACATTACATAGAACACATTCTATAAACAGGCTTCACAACTGAGTGAGTTGAAAGGACATTTCATAAATAACATTTTATATTAAAACAACTGGGAACTCTTGTAATGTGGATATCAAGATCAATGCTTGAACTCGATCTTTTGTTAACCTACAGATTAATTTAATCATTATTAAATTTCCAGCATGGTAATCGTACCCTGGAGAAATAGCTTAATTGAAGAGATCAAACGTTGATCTTCAAATTAAAAGTGCCTACGGTGGATATCGAGATCTGTGGATCGGGATTATGAGATCCAACACAAAGGTTCCCAGCTCATTTCTTATTGAAAACATGATCAAACCTCAGATTTAACACAGTTAAAGGACTGCATTCCCAACATTTCCCTCCTATCCAACAAAATATTTCAGTCCGTCTTCAACATCTTTCATCTGAAATAAATATATTTCCGGATTGATTGATTGATAATGTGTTTCCGAGCCTGATTTAGAAAATGATAAAAGAAAGGATTTCATATTTATCTTATAATATATAGTATTTCCTTCGACCGTTTTACAATAATTAACTCGTATATCTTAAAAATCATATAAATCTTGGCTTTCCTAATAGGCTTTGAGACAGGGGGGGGGGAGGTGTGATTTTGGTTTTATGGAAAGGAACGAATAAAAAAGAAAAATATACTTAAGTAAGGGATATTTCCCCAGTTTTGCATCATATTTTTTTCATCCAAGGTTGCATGTGGATTCTGTATGTTACATTAACGAAAAGTAAAAAGATTTCCAGATTCGTTAATAACATTTTCTGGTGTAATAGAAATACAAATTCTCAAAAAAAATGTCTGTGTCTGCATAATTCTAATCAAAATATAGTTTACAATGCTAGAGTAGTTTACAATGCTAGAGTATGGAGCCTCAAAATAATTACTAAAGGTTAAAAAATGAAGGAAAAGAGATAATTATATGTTTAACAAGACAAATACAATTTTGTTAGTTTTCTCCTTGTATTTACATTACATAAATATTCCTTTGAATACTAAAAATTTTGCTGCGTTCTTCAAAATGTGTAATTTTGATTTTTGTGAATGTTTCTATAGTTTGTATTTGTACTAGGTTTAATATAGAGTAATGAGTACATTGAAAACTATTGAAGAATAAATGCCGAATTTATAAGGAAGTACTGTGGGGTAGGGACTATTTTCCTTTGGATTTTCCTTTATCTTTGCTTGGAGGACGTCCCTGTGGTTTCTTTGAGGATTTATCCCTTGAAGCTCCTTTGGCCAGCATAGGATGAACCTGAAACATAGTTCACCGTTTTCCTCCACTCAAATTAAAAATTATCAAAAAAATCTTAAGTTTTGATCAAGACATAAAATAATTTTTGAGTAAAATGCTTTTAAAGTCATTCACACTGTAGACACAATTTCATTGTCCCTTTAGTATAAATTGGCAAGTCACTTTTAAATGAAACCACAATAAATTTGGACTACAGAAAAAAATGGATATCTCATTTATCCTTTATCAGAAAAAGATATAAAGGGTATCGTTGTGATTCGGTCACACAACTCAATAGTTGAAGCATCACTTAAAATTTATTTTTAAAAAAAAAATATTTAAAAAAATCTAATTTATGGGATAATTTCTAACCTCATCTGAAGGAGCATTCTCTAGTGCGATATCCGTTGTTTTCGTTCTTTTCTTCTTTGGCGATGAGTTCTCTTTATGATCTGAACTTGATCTCTTGTTGGTTTCCTCATTCTCAGGGTTAGGTATATATCCGTCCTCCGGCTCCTCAACCTACAAAATACATAAACATTTCAGGGCGGAACTGATTCTCTAGCTCCTCAACCTATATAATACATAAACATTTCAGGACGGAACTGATCCTCTGGCTCCTCAACCTACTCAATACATGAACTTTCAGGCCGGAACTGATTCTCTAGGTTCTCAACCTACACATTACATGAACTTTCAGGACGATACTGATCCTCTAATTCCTCAACCTGTACAATACATGCACATTTCAAGACGAAACTGATCCTCTGGCTCCTCAACCTACACAATACATGCACATTTCAGGACGGAACTGATCCTCTAGCTCCTCAACCTACACAATACATGCACATTTCAGGAAGGAACTGATCCTCTAGCTCCTCAACCTCTATAATACATAAACATTTCAGGACGGAACTGATCCTCTAGCTCCTCCACCTACACAATACATGCACATTTCAGGAAGGAACTGATCCTCTAGCTCCTCAACCTCTATAATACATACACATTTCAGGACGGAACTGATCCTCTAGCTCCTATTCAGTTCCTTTGTTTATATTCTTCCATGAATTTTTTTAGAATAATAAACAGAAATTAGGCCCTTCTTTTCGTTACCTTTGTGATAAAATATATATAAAATAAAAAATATTAATAAATATGAACTATATTATGATGATCCGAAAAATGCCGAAATTTATGAAATGTAATATCTGAATGATCAGTTCTGAATTTAATTGAATTATTAACGGTTTGAGTGGAATAACGCAACTGAACGAATTTGCATGGGTTGGGCTCTACGCTATTGTACATTAAGCATTTTCAATCAGTTTCTCATCATAGACGCAACATATTGTAGTAATATAGATCGAACCCGATTTTTTTGGGATTCAGTCTGACCCCCTTTACTTTGTCGAGAACACTTCCTTAAAATACCTCTGGAGCCATCGGTAGATAGAGAATAGCTGAATGGTCTTCACTCTCCTCGTCACTACTACAGAGGGCGGGGATAGAAACCTTGTTGGATACATCTACGTCGCAGTCTAGATCCAACTCCTCGGGGTCCTCCTTCACACTCCGGTCCTCATCCTTGTTAACAGAATTTCACACAATCAATATAAATATCTTGTAAAAGAGCTAAAGACGGATTTAAAGAAAGAACAAATGATAATCTTACCCTCCTACTGAACACTCAGCCGCCCCCCCCCAGGCCCTTCTATCTCCTTAAGGCAAATTGCGATATGATGTGATCCACATTCACAACATTTTATACATTTCTGGAACTTCCTTCGAATCAACTTTAAGAAGCTGCAAGAACTTGCAAATTTACAAAAGTCCACATATTTATCTAGTTATAAAGCAACAAATGTGAAAAAGACGCTAAAAATTTAACAAATAATACATTTCGAAAAGCCTTTCCGTTGAGTAGTTTCTAAGAATTGGTTCATAATAGAGGAAAAAAAGGAGTGCATGGTTGTTGAAAATCTTTTTAAAAATCCTTAGCAAAATTTGTGCAATCTGCTACTTTTGATTAAAAATAGGTTTAACATAAAATACGCATTTTTAATAGAGTTTATTGTTTGTTTTACATGAGTATAAATTCTTTCTGAAATCATTTAGCAGTCCTAAAAAAAAAGAATTAAAAAAATTGATTTTACCGACCTCAATATCGAACTCGGACTCCCTCTCCTCGTAGTCAACGTTCTCGTCGAGCTCCTTAAAGTCGGGGGCGAAGGCTGACCAGTTCTCAACCTGCTGCTGGGCCCACACACTGATTACTCCACTTGATATACTTGCAACTAGATATATTATATATATATTTTATGTTTGTAACTAATTCTATTTATGTTTGAATTTTATGAACTTATAATCAATATTAATTCTGAACAAATAATAGAAATAATTGCAAGGCATACAAGGTTTTTTGTTTAAAAAATAAGATTGGTAATGTGCAGTAGATATTTTAATGCTCAAGAAACAAAAATCACCAGAAAAATAAAAGTCTCAGCCATCATTTCCTTAAAAAAAATCAGAGGATTTTCAAAACTTGACCGAACATAGATTTTGATTTGAACATTGAACAATTGAACATGATAAAATATACAACAGGAGTATTATTACACTAGAAATATACAACAGAAGTATTATTACAACTAGAAATATACAACAGAAGTATTATTACAAAGGTAGAATCTAGAGAGTTAACAAATATAAAAGTCGGGAGTTTGGTTAAATTGACATATTCAAGATAGTACAGAGTCTAGAAATGACAAATTTCATTTAGCATCGAAAAAAATTATTTAATTCTTCAGCTACAAAAAGAAGCATGAAAGATATAGTTAATTATAGATCCAAAATTGACAACATTTCCGTTTTCCAACCAACAGTTCTCTTTGCTGCAAAAAAAAGTTAGATTTTCCGTAATTTCTAATAATTAGGTTCACACGATATCTTGTAATTTTCGTATCTCATACTACCATATCACGACATGATTATTGAAAAAGTTATAATTTCTTTTTTAGCATTCATTCTTTTCTGTTGGGTTTAATGTAAGACGCTTAAACCATTTTAGGTGGGTTTTCAGGGGTAAAAAACTAAAAAATAGGAGGGAAGAAATTATGTTCCAGGAAAAATAAAGTCGAGAGAGAGGATGAAACTTTTTATGAGAAAATCCTAATCTGTTGAAACCACAATACAAACTTTTAATCTGTAGCAATATAGTACTAAATCTGTAGCAATATAGTACTAAATCTGTAGCAATATAGTACTAAATCTGTAGCAATATAGTACTAAATCTGTAGCAATATAGTACTAAATCTGTAGCAATTTAGTACTAAATCTGTAGCAATATAGTACTAAATCTGTAGCAATATAGTACTAAATCTGTAGCAATATAGTACTAAATCTGTAGCAATATAGTACTAAATCTGTGAAACTAGTAATTCTGCAACTTACAGGGTTATACAGAAGGTGTTAAATAAAGTTCCGACCAATTGTTCTTTTTCAGTTTTCACCAAAAAAAATCTGACCTATTGGTCTGACAGGATGCCAGACTACATCCAGCAGCATCTCTCCCTTTGTCCCGTGCAGGATCTTCACGAGGTTCCCCAGGGACTTCTCCCAGATATACAACGCATGCTGACGCGCAGATCCCGCGCACACATATTCTCCGTCCCCTAGCAAATAAATATATATATATATTTATAAAAATTCATATATATAAATATATATATATATATATATAGCTATAAAAATTCATATATAAAAAATCAATCCAATAACACGACAGAAGACGATCTCATGCCTCTTAACGCTAAAATATGGGAGAAGCCGTGTAAGTCAAAATTTTACTAACATCTTTATTCTTCTACTCAATAGATTTCCGTTGAGGGAGTAAACTTTCAAAAATGTATGTCAGAATTTTTTTTGATAAGAATAAATCGACAGCCCAAGTAAACTTGGATTGAACTAATTCTATTTTTTTTTAAATGATCAATTTTAGTCTAAAAAAGACAACATAAGTAAAGTAAAACAATTTGATTTTTACCTGAAAAGCAGCATTTTTTCCACATTGTTTTATTTACAAGGTCCTGAAGTTTCTGTAAAGGTTCCGGGTCCTTCCCGGAGCTGGATTCAAGAACATCCTAGATAATTAGGTTGGGTATTTTTTTCAGGGATTTGGATTAAAGATCAGGGGGAAAAAATTACAAATTTTGACAATGAATATCTACTTAACCTAAAATAAATTTATTTCCCCATTAAAAAATAGCTTGAAAATATTGTCCCTGAGGTGAATTTTTTTTCTATATACAGTTGAAGATTTTAAAAAAGCAGTTTAGGCTATTGTTTCAATCTTCCTAATTCTGAAAATAAGGGTATGACAATTATAAATGTTTTCAAATAAACCTGGAAAAATTTTGATTTACGCGCGCAAAAAAATCAATTTTGATTCGTAAGTTCTCAATCATTTCATTATCGGACAAAATTTCATGAAAATTAGTATAAAATACAAACATGAATGTTGAATGTTCATAGACCACGTCACTTACCTTTGTATTATAAACTCTGATAACTCTGTCGGCTGTATTGACAAGAAAACTCTCTGTGCGTCTAGCGAACTCTATTCCCTAAAGAAAGAGTTTTAAGATCAAGTTTTTATCATTTCAGAAGGTTATCTTTAAATATGTTTTCTTCTAGTTCCATATTGGTAAAAAAAAATCAAATTATTACTTTTCAATATTGTAAATTGTGTGCATTTTTATGTGTTCAACTGAATCATGGATTTTAATTCAAACCTAGTTTCCTTATGTTTTTTATCCATGTTTTTTATATAAACAAAAATTGCTTTTGAGTTAATTTTTAAGGGGCATACAATTTTCTGAGGAATTATTACCAACCCCCCTTTACATTTTTAGCAAAAACCCCTACGGCCTCGATGTCCTGCCAAATTATGATATGTCCGAGATAATTAATCAATTAAACAAGTTTTCCTTTCTATTTATTTCATAGGAAAAGCTATTAAAGAAAATAATCTAATAAGAGAGATATACTATCAGAAGTCGACAAATATCAATAAACATGTAAACTTTATTTTTAGTAATTTTACTTTTTAACAGTTTCCTAATAATATTAAATAAAATTATGGTATTAGGGAAGTCCTACCTTAGCATACTAATCTCGAATTAATTTGAGAAATTAGAATTTAAACCTCACCGTCTGTAAAGGACTTGTCTTTAAAATCCCCCCCCCACCCCGAACTCTAAGTTGCAGTTGTTAAATCAAATTATTAATATACCACCTTACCAAAAATTAGATTATTTTTATTTTAAGAAACCTGAGGCCGAATTTAAAGAATTTGAGCCGCGGCTTAAATTTGAGACGCGGCTTAAATTTGGGAAGCGGATTTTGTAGGGTTGGTTCCTTTTACCCCTTATTCTTTACATGAAATAATGAAAATATTATATTTTGGTTCTGTATTTTACCTTGACTGCATTATTAGCAGCTGCTGTTTGAGTGACTCTAAAGCATGTTTTCTGTTCTAAGGTTGTTGCATCAACAACAAGAATCTTTCCTTTAGAGTTTCCGGTAAATATATATTTTCCACGCCTAGACCACAACATTCACTTATTTTAAAATATTTATTTTTCTCTTTCTTTTAAAAAAGTAAAATTATTGACATTTAAAAAAAAGTTAAAATGAACATTTCCTGTCATAGCATGCGTAAATGGTTAGATCTGTGTCGTCTTCCATCGGAACGAGTTTGTGCCCTCCGTCTAAATTTACAATAACCGCGGCATGGCGCATTGGAACCACGAGGAGCTCATTGGCGTTCCGAGGATTAAATTGAACCCGTAACACAGGACTGGGAAACCGAAACCTTAAAAATATCCAGTTATTTAATCATTTAAGTTATCTGCATTCTTAATTTTCTATTTCTGATTATGACAAAAAAGGTGCCCATTTTTACTTATAAGCTTTTAGAACGCTGTAATGAAAAAAATTACGACCTGAATATCTTTGGATTTAAAAATTATTTCAGCGAAATTTTTCCCAGGTAATTTTGGGATATTGGAAAATCTTATTTTTAGATTGAGACTTCTGAAAAGTCTAATAATTACTAACCTATAATCACATTCTCCCGTTAGTACGTCCCAGACCGAAACTGTATTATCCGTCGAGGCGGAAGAGAGCTTAGATCCGTTTCTACACCAGCTGATTGAGCAAACAGGGTGCACGTGGGCTACAATAATATTTTTGTATTTTCTATGTGATTATACTTTTTCGGCCCAAACTAAAAGCGTTTATGTTAAAAAAAATATTTTTGATTTTAAGATACAATTTAAATCTTGAATTTCTAAAAATCTTATATACACTCTTTTGTAAACCTAGTAAAATGATGAAAATGATTTCAGTTATTCTGAAAATATACCTGGTATAATTTTAGCTATTCCTCGAGTTAAAAAATCCCAGATTACAATCCTACCATCATTGCAACCAACAGCGAACAACGTACCGAATCTGAAAATAAATAGTTTTTGATCATAAAATGTACTGTCCATTGATAGCTATCTAAGGACTAAGTGTGTCTAAAAATAGATGGCAGGAGGTACACTCCAAGAAGAAAAGCTTTAAGAGTCGTTTACTTTTTATACAAAGGTTTGATTATTATATCCTACCTGTTAAACTGACATGTAACAGCCATAGAAATACAATCCAGGGACCCATCAAACTCCTCTGGATAGTTTTGGCCAAAGCTCTCTAGCAAGGCCAAATTCATTTCTAGTGTCTGAAAAATTGAAAACTTATTTAAGCTCATACTAGTAAATACAGTAAACCGGTAGCGTTGTAGCTCTTGGTCTTTAACATCACAGTCTTAGAACAAGTTAAGAGTTCCGTGTACACAGTACAGTACAATAATTAGTTTTGATTTAAAGGTTTCAATAATCTTCTTTAGTTCATATGGCCTTTCATAATTTTGATTTAAAAAATCAAATGTCAATCAGAGTTTTTGAGTATTTATGTTGCAGACTTTTGAGCTGAAGAAAATAAAAATTGCGAAAGTCTTTATTGCCAACAATCGGACACCAGTACTAAGTACAGTTCCTATTTGTGCAGATTTAATTGTTCCTATAAGAATGAATTTATTTACAACCAAAACTTGGTGCTGGTACAAAAACAGGTATTTATGCAGTTAGCAAGTAATTAATTTATGACAGACAAACTACACATCAATTACATTTTGTACTTGGTAAACAAAAGTAATACACAAAAAGAGAATTTTTTAATTGACTAAAAACATATTTCTTTTATCAATCAGAGACAAACAAAAAAAGAGAAACTTCCTGTTTTTAATGTCTCATAGGTTTAAATATGAATAATTGGTAACTTTTCAATTCAATAATAAAAATCGATGGCCGCAAAATGAAATTGAGAAATGAGACAATAATTTAGCAGGTTTATGATTTAAATAAATCATGAATTTTACAATTATTATTATTATCAATATTTGATCTAATCCTGAAATGCTTTCTTCCACAGTGGATTGATTTTAGATTTTTCATCGAAAAGACTTCGCAAGAGAACAACCTTAAAAGAAAATTGATTAAAGGGACTGTAAGCGTAATTTCAAGTGAACCTTCATGCAAAAGTGGCAATGCCCGATTTACAACGGTACCCCTTAGAAGCTTTGTCTGATCAAGTATGAAATAGATATGAATGCTTTTGTTTATCTAAACTGCTTATTTTCATTTATTGTTTCCCTACAAAATCGACTTGCTTGCAAACTTTTCTAGTACCTTACCCCCCCCCCCCCAAAAAAAAGGCTGATCAATGATTTTTCAAGTATGAGAGATCAATGGAAAAAAAGATCAATATTGGAATATCATTGGGCTTGGATGGTGTAAACATAAGTGCCTGAACAACTCCTGCTGCAATTAGTACTACCAGATAGATGATGGACATGAAGTTGACCCGCTCAAAATTATGTTCGGCAAGGGATCTGTCCTTTAAGTCAGTTACACGGATCATATCCTAAACACATAGAAAAGTTCAATGTAAAAGCCAAAAAAGACACTTAATTAATATTTCAAAATCCACTTGATTTTGTATTACATATTAGGAACATATATAAGCCTATTTTATCCCTCAAAGGACCAGCACGATACAATAGTTAATGTACAAATAACCACTGCTTTTTAGCTAGAAACACGTATCTTTAGTAAAGTTCTTTGATTTCCTAACAAGTTTTCGTGAGCATGACATCAAGAATTAAATTAGTCATTCAAATTAATCAGTTTACAAAACCTACGAAAATCGAATTTTGTCAGAAAAAAAACAATCGGATTATTCCAGTCCTCAGAAACAGGCTTAGGTGTGTTTTTAGTTTAAAAATTGGTGTATTATGAGCAAATATTAAATCCATGAACATGTCCTTAAATATTTTAACAAGTTACCTGGAGATGTCTAGCTTTCTCCATGTCATCCTTGATCTTCTTGAGTTTATCCTGAACAATAAATATAAATTTTAATTAACTATTAAGAGGAGCATATTGAATTTAAGTTAAATTCTTAACATTTTTTATATTTCTTCTCTGAACAACTCCCCCCTCCTTACATGTGCAAAAAAACATAATGAATGATTTTAAAATAAAAATATAGAGTATGAGATGAGAAGAATTTATAAGTAATGCTGTTTAGAAATAAATTGATGACATATGTATTTAAAACACGTGCTGTAACAAATCCTGATAAGTGTTTTTGCAATTTTTACAAAAATCCATGAACGTTTTATTTGATTAATTTTAGTAGTTTATTAGCATATTTTGAAAAAATAAATGAATTTTTGGGTCAAAGGTTTCCAAAATCATTTTTTGAAATATCATCCACTGTTATCTTAACGTTCCAAACTTTTCATAGGAGATGTTTTTTAAATATTCGAATTGTGAATTCTCTACCTCTATATCTGAAACCTGCAGTTCATATATCTCAGGTTCTTCCTCCTCCGAAAATATTGCTGCAAAATCATCATAATCAATATCTTCATTCTCATTGATAACCTGGACGGACCCAATACAACAATCTCAATACTGCAGGGGTAAAACAATTTTCAAAAATAACCAAACCCCTTAAAAATAAAAAATTCTCTAAATATATTTCAAAAACTTAAAACTTTTAAATTTGTTTTTCTTGCTAGGAACCATTTCATTGTGCTTGCTCCTTTACCAAAACCAAATTTCCGAAATTGTCTTCTTCTTTTATCGCTCATTTATTTGTAAAAGCTTGATTTAGCATTCAATGATTAGAAAGGTGTAAATTTAATGATTTTGCATTAATTTAAAGAAAAAACGGTAATTTTTCCAATGTTTTGATTAATATTTTGCCTCCTTTATGTAACCTGATTCTAAGCACTGATTTTAAGGAATACAAATATATTTTTGTGGAATACTATTAAAAACATGAGGGAGGAAAAACGAAATCATATACACATAGGCTTGATTAAATGTCGTTAAATGAGGGAGGAAAAACATAATCATATACACATAGGCTTGATTAAATGTCGTTAAATTGTAGAAGTTTGTTGTATTTTCCTCGAAATATATTGTTTTACTTGAAACATATGAGAACTTGTTTTCAAAACATATCTTGTAATCACCGCTATCCTAGAATACAAGGATATAATATTGTTTACTTGAAAAATATAAGAACTTGTTATCAAAACATATCTTGTAATCACCGCTATCCTAGAATACAAGGATATATTAATGTTTGCTTGAAACATATGAGAACGTGTTTTCAAAACATATATTGTAATCACCGCTTTCCTAGATTACAAGGATAAAGTATTGTTTACTGGATAAATAATAAATACATATATTATAAACATTATACATACATATTTTAAAACCCTATTATGAATAAATAAAAAAATTTCTTAAATTAGATTGAACCTCGACTTTTTGTTTTTTTCTCCAAGCTTTCTAAATGTATGCTTCATATTACATAATTTAAAACGAAATGATGATTAAATACATTTATAAAGTACAATTAAATAGAATTGAACTTCGACTTTTTGTAATTTAATTATACTTATTTCTTCTTACAGCTTTCTGAATGTATAATCTATTTCACATATTTCAAAACCAAATTACCAATGATGAATTAAAAAAATAACTGAAAATAATTTAACCTTGACTGTTTGGCTGAAAACACCATCAGATTTCTTGAATTCTGCCACTAGTGGATGTCCACGAGGATGCATAACTCTAATTCAACATTTTTTTTTCATTTTTGTGAAATTCGTTTAAGAATTAATCATTTTTTTTAATAGTTCTAACAAAGCATTGGGACACTAGATTTTTAAAACAAGTAAATCTTTTTTGGCTTAGAAACTTGAATTTTATACAATACCACTTTTAAATACAAGAACAAATAATTTATATGTTGAAGGATTCTATGATTACGTAATAACTGAAATGATAAATATGTTATGTAATGAGTAATAATCAATGTTGTCTATTTGTGCATAATTTTGCATTTTGTTCTCTTTTCTTTAGAAATGCTGTATTTTCAAAAATTATTTAACAAATTTAAACTACACCACTATATATATGTATTTATATTTTTGTGCGTGAATAAATCTTTATAATATAATACAAAATATTTGTGATAATTCTTAACATATATGTGAAGCTTCAAAATTAAAGACTTATCTGACGTATTGAAAAATCGAATAAAAAGTATTCCTGAAGTTAATGTCTAGTTCACTATATTGTCCTGATCCTCCATCAACGACCTGGCACAAAGAAAATTATTCATCAATCAGCATCTATATATATATATATAAAGTAGTAATCGCTGTTTGTTTTCTGGAGGTCCGATCGTAACTCAGGGACCCCTCAACTGAAGCCTCAAATTTTGCTTTGGGAACTCGGTAGTTCCAAAAGAATGTTCTTAGCTTGGTTTAAACATTTTGAATTGATTGAGTGGTTTGACTGTCCTAGGAAAACTCAATCAAAGCTGGGTATCCAATTAAGCTAGTATTTCTAAAAATATTAGCTTGAAACTTTGCTTTGCTTGGAAGTAGAAAGAAACTTTCCCTATAGACGTCAACTTAGAATCTTTATTTGAACTAAACTAAGAATATTCCCGTGGTTTTTAAATTAAATCTAAATGTGAGGTCAAGGAGTTCAGGAGATATGATCGGGCAGGAAAAGAAATACATAGATATTATTACTTCTATCTATACAGTAATCTCTCCGATCATAACTCATGAACCCCATGATGGATTTGCCTTAATTTTGGATTGGGAACTCGGCAGAACCACGGAAATGTTCTTAGCTAGCTTAGTATTAAACTAATTTGATTAGTTGAGTGGGTCAACATTTAAAAACAAAGTTTGGTTTCCAGGCGAGGCTGGGTTCCCATTCCCAAACTTATTATAAAATATATTATAACCAGGTGCTTCATAATTTTCTCAGCAGTACTATGAATCCATTTCATAACAAGGATCCGGATCCTGGATTAGCCCTCTCATATAAATGGATCCGGATCCTGGATTAGCCCTCTCATATAAATGGATCCGGATCCTTGATTAGCCCTCTCATATAAATGGATCCGGATCCAACTCATGAAATTTCTTTCCAAATATCTTCTGCATATTTTAAGGCACATTCAAAATCGGAGGATCCGGATCCTAAGCACTGGTAAACATTGATAACAATTGAGCTATAATTCGGTTCTATGTACATTGTACATAAAAACATACTTAAAGAACCGATATTAATAATACCACTCTTTCTTAACTATGTTTTGTATTTTAAACAAACACAGATTGTATGATTTTCTTATGCTTTCTCAAATTGGTTTAATTTTTTAAAATTTTGTTTATATTAAAAAATAAAAATTTACCTGGTATTCAACAGTGAAGGTAAACCCTGAATTAACAGTCTCAAAGAAACATTCTTCCATCCCGGCCCCCACCTCTACTGTCATATCCTGATACAATTTAAATACATTTCTTCTTCATCATCTTTTAAGGGACTGTAAGCGTAATTTCAAGTGACCCTTAATGCAAAGATGACAATGTCTAATTTACAACGGTACCCTTAAAAGCTTTGTCTGATTAAGTTTAAATTAGATATCAATGTTTTTTAAACTGTTTATTTTCATTTGAAGGTTCTTCCACATTTCTTGTTTATTTGAAACAATGAAGAAATTATCATATTTCACTATCTTTTAAAGTGAGAAAAAGGACGATACCTTCCATATTTTCGATCAATTAATTTTTACTGTTTCAAATCGTGCATTGCCATCTTTGCATGGAGGGTCATTTGAAATCAAGCTTACAGTCCCTTTAAGAACAATTGCAATGCATTGAATCGCCAATCGTCAGTTTTTTAGATTATTATGCTATTTAGAATTGATCGCTTTTTGCTTAGTCGACAATACTCTCCATGTACCTGTACCATATAACAATATCAGTTGATGCCGGAGCCTTAATTTCAACTATTTATATGACCGATCTAATTCTATGCAGGATTGAAGTTTGGGAATTTGTTGATACGTCTACCATACTCTTTAATATTAGATGTAGCGAAACTTTGTTTGTTCCCTATAAATAGCAAAGGATTACCAAATCTTCAATTGTTAGGTCAGATCAAAATTGAGGCTCATTTTATAACCACCCTGTGTACAATAAACTGAACAAGTGACTAACCTGTTCTTTAGCCAATGAAAGGCAAGAAATCAACAGAATAATGATAATCTGAACTGGATGAGGAGCCATTTTAGGACATCCGTCTGAAAACAGATTGAATTAATGTCAAACCATAAATAATGAATATATTCATGCAGATAAACAGACTTTTTGAGGACATGAAACTTGAAAATTAGATGTACAATTATAAACTGTTATGTTGCATTTTGTACAACTAGTTTTCATAAACAAATCTAATTTTTCAAATATGAATAATATTAAATAAATTGGTTGTTTATGTAACTACAATACAATATCTTAAACATTTCTATCATACCATATGTCAGACATTTAAAAAATGTTAGGCAAATCTTATATATAAGATGTTTTACCCAATGTCAGACATATCTAATATACCAAGATATTATGAATATCTAACATAAAAGATTTTAGACATTTAATAGATATAAGTCTAATTTATAAGATGTTATAAATATTTAATATTTAAGATGTTGGAGAACAAATGTTCAAGATGTTAGACATATCTAATATGCAAGATGTTAAATAAAGATATATAATATTAAAATGTTAATTTACCGGATGTACAATGAGAACTTTATCGTTGTTCAAACAGTCCAGAGACAAGAAATGTAAGGTTTGTTAAATTGAAATTTATTCCATTTCTTGTCTCATTAAATAATGTTGGGTTCACTATTCTATAATTCTTAAGGTTTGGTACATTACTGGTACAATGGTACATAGAAGATACATGAATAAATGCAAACAACACTAGTTGTATTAAAGCTATTCAACGCGTGTGCACAGACTGCATTGCGGTTCATACCCAATACTTTACAACCAGTGCTTAGGATCCATTTCTTTTTATCCGGGTCCTGATCCTGGATCCGTCCTATAAAAAATGGGTCCAGATCGATCATCAATTCATTTTACCAAAAACAAATTTCCAAAATGTTCTTCTACTTTTTCGCAGATCTTTATGAAATAAAATGATTGAGAAGGTATTCATGATTTTTTCATTAGTTGCCAGTTGAAATGTGTGTTTTAAGAGCAAAAAAGTTTTATTTTCGATGTTATTGTAGATTTTTTGCCACTTAATTCCGGATACCAATAGCCAAGAATTCAATGAATCCGGATCCTAAGCACTGTTACACTATCTCTCAAGCTTTATAAACGTCAGTTTACAAAATGGAAGCAAATGCTCGCAAGTCTAAATAGGAAACTAAATCAAAAGAAAATTATAAAACAGCATAAACCAGATAGATACAATAAAAACATGAAAAACAAAAATATACCGGATGTTGCTTTTAAACAATAGAAAACCAAGTGGTTCCAGGGCCCGGGTAGATTATTAGGCAATTCCAGGAACCAAGAGAATCTAATGGGTTTCTACCCCTCGACTAAGAAAATGCAAATTTGAAAATGGTCTCGACAGTTAAAAGCAGGTTTACTGAGATCTCACAACAGCTTATTTGTAGAAAAATGATGGTAATAAAACAGAGAAAAATCATCAATAAAACAATTGAATCTATAGTTTAGGAAAATGTTAAATGCACAAACTCGGATAAACTTGTTATAGAGCGAGATTATAGAAAAAAAGAGCTACTGGAGCGAACAGATGATTTCTCGATCCGTGAGAGTTCAATCATTATTTAGAAGCTTGCAAATCTTACAAACTTGGAAACTGAAAATTCAAGGTTGGATACTTAAACTTACAAGTCATGCAAAATTAAGTGGTATGTATATTATATATATTTTCTTTTTCCTTCTAATAATTGGTTTTGCAATAGAAAATTTTTGTTAAAGATTACAATAATAATAACTAAATTAGAAATTTTGGAGAAATTAGAAAAAATAGGTAATGCCAACGCTTTTCTAAAGCGAATAACTAACCACTGTTAAATTAATAAAAAAGGGGAGCTAAAAAATAACAAGTATCCAAAAACCTTCCTTTAATCAGATCCTGCATTGGAAAGCTTGTGTGCAATTCTCTTCAATCTGAAATTAATTACTAGATAAATTTTTTAATTATTATCTAAGGAAAATATTCGCTTAATTTTTAAAATGTTTTTAAGTACAGTGGTATGTATCAATACAATGAAGACGACTTTCTATTTTAACTTTTTCTACCAAGCTTTCAAAGAGCAGAGAAATCATAAACATGTAGATAAAGAGAAGTTGTCAATTAACAGCTTCTTTCTGTTTACTTGTGAACTTGTAATTTGACAAATGTTTGTTAGAGATCAAAGCAATTATAATAAAAGTTGTCTTCATTGTATTGATATAATCGCCGACCACTGTTTATTTAGTACATTTTTGTTGTTTAAACGCTTGATTGTGAAACTAATTTTCCTTTGGTTAAACAATCAAAATGCTCGTAACATTCAAAACTGTTAAAAGTTAAGGATTGCTTTTAACAAACTTTGCAAGATTTTTTTCCTAAAAAAAGTGAAAAACTAACCAATAACGATATCATTTTCTTTTTTTTGTATCGTTTTAGATAGTTTTTTGTCTATATTTTCTGTCAAAGAAAAGCATATGTTTAGAATTTTTAAAAATAATTACAAAAACATTTTACTATGCCAAATTTGCTTATATTACAAAATACCTAAGACGGTCAAGATTTTTCTGCAGCTGCACAGCAACCCTATTCCTACAGTCTCCGAACTGGAAGTGCAGACCAACCCTGAGAATCGCCTTGTTGTTCTCAATCGCCTTCGTGATAGCGGTCTCCACCTTGTTCCCCAAGAACTGTGCTTGCTGGTTACTCCCCTTGAGCCCCAAAAGGGTCTGCTGCACGTTTATTGCTTCGAACATTTTGGCGATTGTTTGCGGGTTAACATTATTGGACTCAAAGTTTATGGTCTCCAGGGTTTTGTTGACCTCTAGGGCGGAGGCCAATACAGCCGCAGCTGTATCCGTCATTCCCGTGTTAGCAAGGCTGAGGTCCTTGAGGTGGGTGTTCTGTTCCAGGGCCTGGAACATCTCGATGAACTGGTTCTCCTTGGTGTACACGTTGTTCAGGTTTACCGATACCAAGGACGGATCGTTGCATTTGATCTTTTCAAGAACCTCAGCGGGCTCGGTTTTATTGGGAGCTTCAGCGGGAAACGGTTTCAAAGGCGAGGCTTTGGTGACACCCTGCCACCCGATATCAGGGTCAGCTCGAGGAGCTTTCTCCGACTGAGAAGCATGATATTGGTCCTGGTTCATCAAGGCGTGAAGTCCCATGATTCCTAAATATTTCTGATTAAGCAAAGACGCCAGAAGTTTAAGGGACTGTAAACTGTAGAGTGAAGACACACATTTAAGTTACCCTTGAATGCCTAATTCACAACCGTACCATGTAAAACTTTATCTGAGCAATGATGAAGATATGGACGTTTCTCCAGATTTACGTTGTAAATTCTGGCATATTTCCACGGGACTGTTATGAAACTTAACATGCCGCTACAGGGTGAATATAGGCGGTATTGTAGGTCAATAGATATTATTTACCTGCGAGATCCACAATCTCGTCCGTGGTAGCAGAGTTTAGTGCGATCTCTACATCCTCCCCCAGGTCAAGAGAGATCTCGATATCATCGTCCAAAGTAGGTTTAGGTCGGGACGGAGCTGTGTAACGTTTCCCCCTCACGGTTCCAGGAACATGGGGAACCACGTCAGGAATATCCGGTTCGTTTATCGCCTGCTCAGTTATAAAATCTAAAATAAAACAATTGAAGTATACACTTAAATTATTATGATAATAATAATAATAATTCAAATAAGTTTATTTTTTCGGCATACCCAATTTAAAATTTTTTTCGATTTAATTTTTCTAAAATCTTGAACACCAGGGGCTCAGCGAACAATAGTTGTAGTGCCAAGAACCCCCTCGTAAATATAAAACATAAATAAACATATCAAATACAATTTTAATTTCTATGGGTGGGGGGAGGCAAGCTAGGGGGGGGGGTGCAGTTTGTTATAGAAGCTTGAGTTTGAGGAAGAAAAAAAAACTTTTTACAAAAGGAGCCAGTTAAATATTCGGTTGAATTATTATCATTAAAACAGATTGAAACGACCATGATTACTTTTTATACTTTACGAAAAGGAACAATTTAAAGGAAAGAGCAAACTTTTTATTTGACAATGATTAGGTTAGTGCTTAGAAATTAATTTGTTAAAATATTCTGTGGAGTAGTTAATTAATAATCGTGTTGTTGTTAAAGTACATGCAAAACATTCAGACATTTACACTCATGTTTCTGTTTATATTCATCTAAAAGTCCATTCTTACAAGTCTAAAATATTCAAACTTCCCAATGTCGTCACAGGCAAAGTATTTATTTTTATTCCAAAAGGTAGAATATGAAAACTAAGTCATTTTATCTACATCTAAAGAAATTGTCCGTTGTACATTTAGATCATTTAAATTTCTAGGGATATATCCATCCCCTCCTTCAACCAATCTACTACTCCATTCATTTTGAAAAAAAACCTTTTTTCTATTTTGTTTACAATCAAAGAATTATTATTAAACAAGATGCAAAATTCAGATGAGAGGGAACAAGAGCAAAATGCAAAGTTTCAAACAATTCTGAGGAATCAAGTTTTAAAGTAACTCTTTTTACAATTTTTGCAATTTTTCTGAAAATAATGTAAAATTGAGATTTTTATTAAAAGAACACCTAGCATTCGAATGTTTGAAACCGGACTTTATTTAGATACTTTCTTTAGTTCAATTCCATTTCACTAAAGAGTTGGAAAAATGTAAATTTTTTGGTCATTCAGAGAAAAAATAATAGGGTTGATCAGTACATTTATAAAAACCGTTGAAGATTAGAGCCCTGGAGAACTCCCACAGAAAGTACTTAGCATGATTCTGATATTGTATTATTTACTCTTTGAATTCTATCCTTTGAATAGCTTTTCATTAATTCAATTATTTGATTGTGACTGAAGAGATTTATTTTAGAATTTTCAGAGGGGGGGAAAGAAATATGATGTAATATTTGTAATCACAGCTTTATGTTTTACAAACTTGTTACTAAAATATTTATCTAAAATGGATAATTAAACTTACCATTTAGTTTTTTCTTGTCAAAAGGTCCAGTTGCTTCTTTTTCACAACGGTAATTTGATCTAAAACCATTACAGAGATGATAAAAGTCGATCAATTAAAACATTAAAAGATCTGCACTGTTCAGCTCTAGAGATAAAATAATAACACAAAATATAAAAGTAGATACATGCATGTCTATTGTTTTCTGTCTCACTTGTAGCTAAAAACAATGACATAAGAATTTAAATACATATATGCTATATATATTTTATTTCTATTTTTATATTTTTTTAAGAATTGGGGGAAATATTCCCACAACCTCTACTTTTAGAGGTTTTTGAATGTTTTCTCCTGAAACACTTTATTTTGTATGTTTTTGTTTTATTTCATAAATAAATAATTTTTACTTTTTACTTTTACATCGTTGGATTCAATAAGTCAAGTTTAATTGGTCTGCAATGATTCAAAGATGTGTAATTTCCTATTCAAATTCTGCCTTAACCATAAACAGGCGGGGGGGGCCTTTGGCGCCCCCATTCTAGTTTTATTGCCCTAGCATTCTCTTTTTTGAAACTGTANCCCCCCCCCAGTAAAAAATATTTATATATATTTCCATAACATATTTTCCGATGTTCTGGGGAGAAAGTAATTAAACATCTACGTCACGAGTCAAACTCTGGTCCGTCCTAGTATACGATATATGGACTAAAAATTTTTTTCATGGCCAAATAATTCTTAGTTAAATTATTTTTATTTATTTTATATTATTTTAGGGTTAGGTTAAGACAATTTCTGGGCCGAGCGCTGCGGCTAGGCCATGCTAGGGGCCGAGCACCTCGGCTAGGACAGGATAGGGGGCCGGGCGCTGCGGCCACATAACCATTTACATTCATGTGTCATGTATGCGATGTACAAAATTGAAAGGAGGGGTGGGCAGGGTCCAAAAATCGTAAAAAAGGAAATTACCTAGAACTCTTCAAATACCTAACATCAGGAGGATAAATATTTTCTAGGAGTTAGCGGGGGAAACTTTTTTAAATAAAATATATTCTCCTGGGGATGATTATTATGTTCCAGTTACCTGAGGCCAGGAGGTATCTGGGAATCATCTGGATCACAATCCTCAAGAAGTTTCTGAATCTCCCCAGGTGTAAGTTTGTCAACTAGTTCGTCAATATCTAGGTCTGCATAGTCCATTCCACGATTTGTTATAATACTTGACATTTTAAACAATAATGAACCCTTTCCAGACCTGTAATAAATATATATACAAAACATATCAAATAATTTTTCTTGATTTTAAGCATTCTTCGGTTTCTCCAAATTCTTTTAATAACTATCTCTACGGCTCTAAGCACTTTAAAAGTAAAAGTTTGAAACTCTAAAATAGTCTAGATCTCACATAACCCTGCGATGATTAAAAGTATATATTGCTAATTGAAAGTATAGGGGGGGAGGGGGGTTGAACGCAGGGGCCCAAAACCTCATTGTTAGGACTGAGCCCGTATTAGTTCTATCGTGTACTTTCCAGTTTCCCCAGCGGCGCGGCCCCGTCTTATTCAAAACAAAAAACCTTCAAAGATACCTAAACTTTTATATGGAAAAGTAAAATAATCAAAACAGTTTAATAACACCTGGCCGATCTGACCCTTTTAAAGAATGGAATAAGCGAAATAACTTAAATAAACTAATAATCTAAAGTCTAAACAAATTGATTGATGAAGCGCAAACAAAAATAAATGCCGCAAATTCAATTTTTTCCAACCCTAATATCAAAGTTTGTAGAGTATACGCAGTGAACAAAAAAAAATATTATTAATTTTCATTCATATCTTTTGTAAATTATGATAATTTATAAACTTAAGGATAATCGGTTCAATTTGAATAGAAGATACATAAAGTTTTCAAGGTCTTTGAAATGATATTGTCTTAATTTAAAGACGACATGACTATATCCTACGCAGCAACATTACATATATTGATTGAACTAATACTCAATTAAACTAAAGTGAGCTTGTTTATATTCCGACTGAAAATAAGACATGAGGGAAGGGAGGGGGCGCCATACGGCCATAAGCCCAAAAATACGAAAAGCAAATTTTCATGTCAACAAAAAGTAAATATCTATAGTTCAAACGACAGTAGTTCAGACATCACAGCATCATTACAACATTTCGGGACCTCAAAGACGATCTATTACAAGTAACGTAATGATAAAATGCCGCAATCAAATTCCAACATTGCTGTGAATAAAATTGTTGGGAAAATTCGGAAAATGTTACCAATATTGCACGTAGTGAAGAAAACCGATTTTGAAATGTATGAATACTGTACAGTATGACTTAAACTTCTACTATTCTTTAGTTGAGAAAAAGGTTCTGAACGAAGAGCAATAATATAATTTTTGACGTAGCGGCCCTCCAAATATCAATAGCGAAGTCAAAAATTCCCAAAATTTTCGCAATTCTGAGATGTTTAACTAGTGAAAGATTTTCGCGGTTAACTCTGAAATTTTAGGCTAAGTTTTGGGGTCTATTCAATTCAAGTAGTCCAAAAACCCGATTATTTTATAAATTACCCACTTTTCATTTCATTCATATTTTTATTCAACTACAAAGCACGAGATAATACAAATAAAAAATCACAATTTACTATGTAGTTTGGACCCGCCTAACCAGAGTAGGTTGTTTTAATTGGTTGGCCCACTATAAACGAATGAGAATTGCAGATAAAAACAATGTACATTGTACATTTTAAACATAATGGGGGGGGGGTCCAAAAATCGTATACTAGAACAGACCCAAGAAAATTGTTTATTTTGAGGGCAGCGCCCGCTGTTTTGAGAAGTTTACATCTACTTCTTGTTTTCAGATCTATATCTTCTTGTTGAAACTATTTATATTCTGAATTTATGGTTAAATCTGTGGTTCAAGTAATGTATTGTATCAATGAGTATGGATGGTGAAGAGCAGGATCAAGGTGAGCTCCGCCCTCAGCTCTCCCCGATACCAAGCTCTCCTGAAAATACACCAACCAGCTCATATAGAATACAAGGAATACAATTTAACAAATAAAAACCTGAAACTGATATCCTTGTCAAAACGTTCCCTTCTGACCTTCTCTGATCGATAATATTTTTTTTGAAAGATTGTAATTGATAAAATGGAATAGGGTTATTCCTGGACAAGTCTCTTTTTCTGTTTAGACGTTTTTCAATCCCCCCCTCCCCTCCCCTTCTAGAAGTTTAAATTTCCCGGGCAATATCACAAACTTATTCACTGAAAATCTTGTTGCAACTAATTGGTTTTTAATTTACAAAATAATTGATATTGATCTACAGTAACTAAAGTCTGGACTGGGTTTGGGTTTACTACGTCGGAGGAGTCCGAGACGGATAAAGAGAACCGTAGTATGGAGGCTAACAGAAATCCAATGCAGGTAGAGAAATAAGTTTTCCTGCGTTTGTAAACAATTACGTACTCCACTCGCACTAGAATTATTTATTTTTCATAACAAAATTACAGATGAATTTATGTTCAATGACCAATTACCAACACATAAAGTCAAAACAAAGAAAGGATCAAATTTATAACTGGAAGGAAACTAAATGTTGTACTTCAATGTATTGAGAGTAAGGAATGACTGACTAGAATTGACTAATTGTGTGTTCGTTAACAGCGGATGGGATCGGGAAGGATTGGGGTAGGAGAGGGGGAGGGGGGGTTGAAGGGGATAAAATTTCGGCCCAAAAACGGTCAAATTTATGAAACGGTCAAAGAAAACAAGAACATAATGCAATCGATAAATTTACAATAATCATAAAATTTAAATCTACATTTCGTTCATTAGATTAAGTTATTTCCCCAACCTTGATCTGCTCCATACAACAAAATAAAGGATGGTTTATGTTTAGGATTCAAGTTCTCTACGTTTATACCTTGATGAAACACAGAATGTTGCAGACGCTCCTGAGGATATTTTTGAGGATGACGAAGAGATGCCGCAGGTAGGTTTCAAATTACAACAGGTAGGTTGTAAAGTACAGCAGGTAGGATGTAAAGTACAACAGGTAGGTTGTAAAGTACAACAGGTAGGTTGTAAAGTACAACAGGTAGGTTGTAAAGTACAGCAGGTAGGATGTTTAGTGCAGTACGTAGGTTTTTATACAAATGTTAGTAGGTTAAAAAATACATAAAGTATATTATAAAAAATAGTTTTTAAAAGTTCAAGTTCAAAAAGATTAATTATTATAAACAAGAATGGGAAAAAGACTTAAGTGAAAAATGGATGGAAGAGATAACAAAGTTTTGATTTAGGTAAACAGACAAAGCTCTGATCATATTCTCACAAGTCAGAATGGAGAAGAGAACAAATATTACGGAGATATTCCTGTTCTCGGTTCCTCTCCTTCGCCTCAGAACAGATATAACAACGGTTCTCAACCCTCACAATCCACTCCGGTCTCTCAACCTTCCGGACTCAATAATACATCTAGGAAAATAGTTGCACAGGACTTTTCCACAGTTTATAAATCATAAAAAAACTTTTTTTTGTTTTGATTCAAAACCACAAACTTTTTTCTTGCTGATATCGTGAAAATAAGTCACATTGTCAGATTTCTCTATAGGTGTCCAATATCATATGATTTCAAACCAGAAGTGTTAATTTTTTTGAAAATCCCCCCCCCCACACGTAAATATAAAAATTTCTAGACGTCACATATGTTTTAAAAAAATTATTACGGGTTTTATTGGCTGAATTGGGAAAATAAATAAATGTTTGGGTAAAAGTTTGAAGAAAAAAAAATTAACAAGTTTGCTATTTTCTATTCCCCCCCCCCCCCTCGCTTCTCCTGTTCTAACCCATCGTCTTTTTCAATAATATTGAAAGTTAACTAAGCCAATCAATCAATCAATTAACAAACTACCACATATAAGATGTTTTCTCAATATGTTTACTTTGACCAAATACTCGGGTTGACTGGTGTGTAATATTAGAAAAGAAGAATCTGCTGTAACACCTAGTCAACCCCTTGATGATTCTGTTATATTTCTCTCTCCTCCTCCAGTTAAAGAACCTAGTTATGTGGATATATCAGACGACTTTCAGGTTAGCAAAATAAAGAAAAACAAACACTTATTCATTTATTTATCTCCCGTTGTCTCACTATTATTAAGTTATTGTAAGTAAGAAATTAATTTGAAGTTTTTTGAGTTGGAAGGGTTTTTTAATATAAAAATCAGGAGTTTATGTCTTTAAAGCAATTTTTTGAGTGTCGAAGATTTGGGAAGGGAATTCGAAAAATTGAACAAATACTGGCAGGTTTCCCCCTCCCTTTTTTATACTTTTACCCAAAAACGCATTATTTTTTTTCTAATTGCACTTTTTTATGCTAGGACGAGGAATTAAACCTTGAATTATCCCAGACCCAGGTAATTGACAGAGACTCCAAGAATACGGACTCCCAACAAGAGACCAGTGACTCCCAACAAGAGACTAGGGACTCCCAACTCTCAGGAATACTAATACCTAACTCCCTCCTCACGACACAAACAGATATTGAGAAGGTAATTCAGTAAACAGAAACATTCAAAATAATAAATTTCGAGATTTTTTGTTTTAAAATATTTTATTTTAATTCCCAAGTGAGACCTGCTTGCACACAAAACAGTATTACAAAAGAAAAATAAATCCTCAGACAAAACATTTACTCTCAGATCGGTAATAAATCCTCTTTTCTCGGTTTAGATATTTGTGAGCATCATTTAACAAGATTAATCAATTTTCAGACAAAACATTTACTCTCAGATCGGTAATAAATCCTCTTTCTCGGTTTAGATATTTGTGTGCATCATTTAACAAGATTAATCAATTTTCAGACAAAACATTTACTCTCAGATCGGTAAAAAAGTTTTCTTTAAATCATATTTCTCTTTTTTTATGAAATAATTCAAAACATATCTTTTCTGGTTTAGACGTTATTATACGAAATCAAGCTTGAAAAACGCACAAATAGTGTCCTCGAGTCAAAAAAAATCTACTTTGAATATTTAGTTTAAGGAAGTTTAAACCAGGTTTATTAAGATGATGGCGGACGATGATGACCTCCAGAACATGACAAGTATAATTGATCTGGATGGAACCCAATCATCTTCTAACGACAAGGAAACAAAAATTCTTTTAAATTCATATTTTTTTAAAATAGCACGTGACTGTTCAGAAAATGATGAGATGCTTAAAAGATAGTAGATGTACTCTTTAAAACGTTTTCTAAACAACAATTAGGATGATGTCTCCGTTATTTTATCTAGAAAAATGGTTGAATTCTGGCAATTCCCTTCTTTCTCCCTTGGTACATAATTCCATTTTTATAGAGAACCGCAATTGATAATAATCTTTAAAATGGAAATAAGGGATAACTCCATCATTTTTGCTCCGTCAAATGTTTAAAAGCACCGTGTTGAATCGGAAATTAGGGTTACGCGAAATTGCGTTTACAGTCCCTTTAATCAATTTAAGCATATCAAAATGTAATTTGTTTTGTTTTTTTAAATTAATTGAAGGAATACTTGTTTTGCAGGAGGATTCTATAGATATAGAAATTTTTAATATCCCGCAGAGGTTGGACTTCCATGTCCCTAGTCCTATGAAGGACTATCGGAGACAGTTTTGTAGTCCGCACAAAATCAAAACAGATTTTCCTCTGATCAGTCCGCTCAAACTTAGCGGAGCAAATAGGACAGGGATACGTGGTAGTGAATCAAGCAACAATAACTCCGGGCTTGGGTTGGAGAAAAGACAGAAGGAGAAGGAAGCCGAACCTGCTCCTGCTCCCCTGGAGAGTAGAGAAGACGAGGTTCCTGATCAGGAGAACAGCGTGGAAGAGATTCTGCAGGAAGAGGTTCAGGACGCGCAGAGTCTAGGTTGTGATTTTACTGAGACCGTGATGAAGAGCGAGGATCAGGACATTATACCGAGCAAAGAAGACGACGCCTTGAGTAGTGCGGAGCATGATGTAATTAAGAGAGATGATAATGATGATGAAGTGCTGCATGAAGATACAAATGATGTAAAGGATGAAGTTCAGGGTGTTCTGAAGAGAAAAGCTGCTGAAGCATTGTCTAGTGAAGAGGAAAGTAGGAAGAAAAAGGATTTAAAGAATACAAAGGTGAAAAAAATGCTATTTGTCCACTCCATGCATATGGGTTAAAAATAAAAATAGAGACAAATTGATAATCAGTAGATTTTAAAATGGTTTTCCCAACTTACTGGTGAGGCGGGGGCTTGGTTCTAAAGGGACAGACCGGCTATGTAAGGTGGTTGAACTGAGTATGCAGTGTTTTGGACAAATTATTTAGGATTCATTGAGATATAAAAAACTTTATAAAGATCTGTAAATCCTGAGTTTGAGCGCAAAGTCGACGTTAAAAATCGTACTTTTGGGTGGATACGTTTTCAGAATTGATTTTTTTAAATTGTCAAATAACGACAAGAAAAAATGTAAACAAAATTCTATTGTAAACTAATTAGCTGTTTAGAAACACTGAACAGGTTGAGAAAATAAAAATTAACTCTTATCATCGAAAATAATTAATCTTATTCAATTAGTAGTTTCTATAATCTCTCTTTAATCACCAAGATTTTCTGCAGATTTTTTGGAATTTTATTAAAAAGACGACATTTGAAGAATTTAAAGAAATCTGCGAACAAATTCATAGAAAATAAGAAATTCAATGTAATGATGAAAAAGGAAATGATTAATTCTAACTTCGATTTTTTTCAAATTTCTTTTGAGAAATATGTTCCTAAACATATGAATAGTTTACTATAGAATTTTTAGTATAATTTTCGTCGTCGTTATTCCATGATTAAAAAACCGATTCTGAATACGTACCCACCCAAATTCATGATTTTGAACGTCGACTTTGCGCTCAAACTCAGTAATTATACATTGTGGAAACGTTTTAGATGTCTCAAATTAATCCTAAAGAATTTGTCCACAACACTGCATACTCATTTTAACTACTTTACATAGCCGGTCTGTCTCTTTAAGGATGATCATATTGTTAATTGTTTCATTAAAAATCTCAGCTGGTTGAATCTTGTTTTATTTATATTTTATTAATGTATGAACGACGACGACTGTGTAATAGTTTAATCCTAGGTTCCAGAAGGGGAGTCTCGTTCTGATTCTGGTTCATTAACTCCGGGATTAACTGCTCTGGACAGTTCTTCTAGACCTATCTCAAGGTAAGCAAGGTCAGGGGTTAAATTTTCAACCCCCCACCCCCACGGCGGCTTTTGAAAAAATCCTTCTTCAGCGAGAAGAGTCTGATGTAAAACACTTATTTTCTTTTTCACATAATTTAAATTCAGAAATAGCTTGATCCTCTGTAATTTCCTAATGACGTTCCCTGTTAGACGGACAAATTCCTGAAAAAATTTGCCATATCACGATTTAACATGCTGACGACATTATATTACTAAACCAAGATATTAAATATGTGTATTTCACAATAGCATTTAAATAAGTTCCAATATGTAGAAAGTTCTCATTCATTTAATCGTTACGAATAGTTTCTTATTTAAAGGGACTGCAAGCGTTATTTCAAGTGACTCTCCATGTAAAGATGGCAATGTCCGATTTACAATGGTACCCTTAAAGTATGAATTAGATATCAATGTTTTTGTTTCATTTGTGGTTTCTCTGCGAAAGTGAGTTGTTCATTTCTTGCCTATAAAAAGCGCAATGGAGAAATTCACTTATGAGTCAGAAAAATGAGGTTATCTTTCATATGTTTAATCAGATCAAGGTTTCAAGGCTACCGTTGCAAACCAGGCATTGCTATCTTTATATGATTGGTCCCTTGAAATTATGCTTACAGTCTCTGTAATAAGAAAGTGACATTAGGCTGGGATTTGCAATTTTATCAAGTTTTTCAAGTGTATATTTAAATATTTAAATAGGCACATATTATTAGACAACTTTCTTAAAATGAGCGTGTGGATTAATGTTAAAAAAGAGCTAAATTTGCTTTATATTTGTGGATATTAGGTCTGAGTATGAGCATCCGGATATATCCTGTAGTCCTATTGTTGGTGTAAACACGGGTACAGTGAGTATCGAATACCAGGAGCAGAATAAGAAGAGGAAAACAAGTACTCCTGGAAACAAGGTACACCACATCTACGTTGGGTTTGTCTCTTCCCCCCTCCCTTAATTTTGTACATGTATTTAATATGTTATTAAGCGTGTTTAGGAAATTGATCTTTTTTATATTATTACATGTCATGTGGGAGCCCCCCCCGGTTGGTGACAGTATATGCTTATCATAAATCTACGTAGCAGCACTTGGCCCCCTAGTCTATAATAAACGCGGCGTTGGTCCAGATAGGTTGTTATCTTTATCTAACTCAAAATATAGGCTAATGAAATGATATATAATGATATATAAACCAAGTCGAAGGGGCCAAATTTTGACTCTGGGTTCAGATGTGTTTGCTTCTTTTAAAAGATTAACTTATTTTTAGATGAGTTCTTCCTATTCCTCGCCACGGAAGATTCTTAGAATGAAGATGAAAGAACAGGCTTCCGTTGAAACCTCCGAGGAAGAGGTTCTACAAGGGTTAAACCAACCTCGAGGTTCTCCAGAGCAGTTGGAGATCAAGAATGATAAAGAGGAGGAGGCCCAGAGTATTGATACTCTAGTAGAGGATAGTTTACCTCTGTTCAAATCTCCAGGTTCTATGGTTAAATATGAAAACTGTATAATAGAGAGGGAGGATGGAAAGGAGTTTAAACTAGAAGAGGTCAAACAGCTGATGAAGGATTTGGGCTATAGGTGAGAGCTTTTGTAAACATAATAAAAAATTGAACTTATATTTATTTTATTAGAATTTCTGTGCTTTCTGAGACGAAAAAGCGTGTAAGTGATGCGAGTTCATTATCCCGAAATAGCAGTGATCTGAGTGGATATCTTGGAGGCAGTAGTGGAGTCTCGAGTGGGGAGTCGGGTAAACGATCAAGATATTCTCTGTATCCGGAAGTGTCCATTGAAAAGCATATAACTATTTCAAAGATTCCTAATATTAGATGTCCTAAAGTAACTGTTGGTCTTGAACAAGTTCCTAAAGAGTATCTCCAGTCTAGGAAAGCAATTGAAACCAGTAAAGGGGAGCCCTCAAAACAAAAGGCTAAGGAAGAAAATCTCAAAGAATTGGAAACTCAAAAGTCTGAAAACTTGACAACAATCGTCGAAGTCGATGAATCCTCGGTATTAACATCTAGGAAAACTTATACCAAGGCTAGCGGTAATGATAAAATTAGTTCAACTGTCGGTGGGAAGAAAAAGTTGACAAAGAAGAAGGTTCGAAAAATATCTGAAGAGGAAGAGGAGGAGGAGACTAGTTCTTCAGAAAGCGCTAAACCTGCTCCAACAGTTGATATCAACTCTTCTTCTAATGTGTCTGATATATCTGTGGGAGCAATGGTGTTTGGTCGGTGGACGGATCCTGCTGGAGTTTATTTCTATGCTGCGGAAGTGTTAGAGCTACTTAACTCGACCGAGGTTAGGGTTAGATTCCTTGATGATAAAATCGAACGTGTTCTCAAAATTGAGAGTGAGCTAATAAATGTCAAAGCTTTACATCCTCACGACGAGATCACGGTGAAGCATGATAACACTGTATATGACGTATCTGCCAAACTTATGACGTTCCCTACTCTAAACAGAGCTGGAGACGTTCAATACGAGATAGAAATAACGCCAACGGATTCAGAACCACAGTTTAACGAGGACAGTAGAATGGTTCACTTCTCGGAGGTATCCCTGAGTGACGCCCAGGCCAGTATGATCATCCGTAGAATGGGTTTTGTTCCTGCCAGTAACAAAGTCTCTTCTGATATAAACTTCTGTAATCTGATCTTTGGAAAGAGGAAACCTCGATCCGTGAACTCTAGTCCTGCTAGTGTAACGTCTGTAAAAGCCCATCAAGGCTCTCCAAGTAGAACTCCGAAGAAGAAAACTCCGAGAAGAAAACGCGGCGGATCCAATGTAGAGGAGAGCGCGACAGCTACTGAAACTAGCGCGTCGGAACCAACTCCGCGTGGAAAGAAGACTCTTACCTATTTAACCCAGGAGGAACTGCAGGATAATGAATCTTTGTCTAAAAGGTCTCGAAAATCTGGTTTGGCTAATTCATCTGTAAAATCAAATTTATTTAAGGTACTTTTCAAAAATATTGAAATAATGATATGCGTATAAAATGAGAATAAAATACACATGTACTAAAATAGAGTAGTTTAACTCAATGTTCCTGTTTTAAATTTTCTTTTGATTTACTTGATACAAAAAATTAAACTTAAACTAATTTTGTTTTATTTAGGGAATGACTTTCATAATTACTAGTTCAAAATTCGATGTAAGAAACCCTGAAGGTAATATAATTTTTAAACCGAAGAAAACATTTTTTTATAAGAAATAGTTATAACCGTGAAATTTTAGACATGCCAGAGGTTCAGGTGAAAAAGCCAGATTTTGACAAAAGTGTAATTCGTTCTGCTATTCATGCCGGCGGAGGTAGAATACTTGAGGTAAATTTAAATAAGAATAAATTACTCCCCCCCCCCCTTATTAAAAACCTGAAAATGAAAATTTCCTTTTAAATCTTATGATCTTTTTTATGTTCGCTATGTTAGGAGACGAACATAAAATCTAATCTTTCTTTTTTTCCTCTGTACCTTTTAAAGACTTATTTATTTATTTAACCCCTTTTTTTGCTGAGTTTAAAGATTTGATCTACAGTGCTACCCTCAAAGGATGAGACTTCAGAGACGATAGTACGAAATTTGTTTAGTCCCTTTCCTTGTATTTGGGGTTCCTAGAAGGCCAGAATTGCCTTAGTTCTGTGCTTACTCATTTAGTAAACCCTCAAATTACTCGGTTCATGAAGAAACCAAAAATCAAGCTTAAAACCGTCATATTTTAGAGTTTTTGGTCGTCCTTACAGTCTCATCCTTTGTGAGTATTCCTGTATTTTATTGGGGAAACAATTTTATGAAATAATTTTTTTGCAGAGTTTCCCTGGACCGGAGAATTTACATGAGACACTAAACGACGTTGTTATAACATTATCAGACAGGAAAACAATTATTCTAAAATTTAAAAATATTTTTTTAATTCAATGGCCGGCTGTTTATCTGAACATTATCGAAGTTAAAAATGATGATTAATATCTTCTAATGGTTTTAGAACAATGGAATGTCTTTAAACAGAATCATCACTACATATTCTAATTAGTAAATTCTAATTAATATAGAGAAAATAATGAAAATTCGTAATATTCTTGTGATAAGAGTTATTCCTTTTCGACTAAGCTTAACTTGATATAAAAAATGAAAAACGTCCAAAAACTCGAAAAACTAAAACTTTAAACAGTCAAAGTATCAATCAATCAAATAATCAAGATGTAAAAACATACCAAACTCTTAATCTAACATGTACAATGAAACCCTTAAAACTGTGAACTAGTTGTCCTGCTGTTCCGTGTGATTCAAGTAAACTGTTACTTCAGAGTTTTCTTGGAAAAGATCAAACACGTCTCCCTATTTTTCTCTTAAATATTTGAACGTTTGTAACATTTTGGGCACTTTGAAAATGGGCATTTTGTAATAAGGCGTTTTATGTCCACTCCTGATCATCAGTCTAATCTCTGGTCGTTCACAACATTAGTTGGATTTGAATAAAATTAAAATCATAAAAATCTTCTTAAAACCAAATACCGAATAAAATATCTAGATAATATATTGTTTAGCATGTGTGTAACCTATACCTACCTTATATCCCTAGCACACTCAGTTCCTATTCTTAGCTACAGGTATTCTTTTAAAATATATCATTTTATTACTAAAAAAATATGTAAATAAACAAATAAAGCGTGTTTCCCCTTGAGTTTTACTTATTTAAAAAATTTCTGGGATCGATGAATTATTAAACATACAAATGTGGCCTCCCCCCCCCCCCCGCCGATCAAATCAAGCATACGTGCCTTATGTTATGCTGCAAATATAAAACCGGATGCTATTTTCTCCATACCTTCACTTTTGATCTTGGAGGTTGTTAAATGTCAATTTCTATAAACATTTTTTTAAAGCCCCCTCCCCCCGTCTTAAAAATCAATAAATATTTCATTGCAATTTGTTACTTTTTAAAGACTCTCAATGTATCCTAGAAACCTTTTTTTGACCAATAATGTGGACGATATTGTCGTTTTCCCAAGTTTAAAGTGTTTGATTATTCCTATAATAATAATCGCTGTCAAACCTTCAATCTATGTTGTAGGCTATATATTTTCCTGCAATAGAATTGCGCAAACCACAATTAAAAATTAATTAGTTTTCAAAATTTTACACGTGGATATAAAATTCATTCAGACAAAGATGTTGAGGGTACCGTTGTGAACCAGGCTTTGAGGTTCACGCTTACCTTACAGTCCATTTATCTCAATCCTTTGATCCTAGATTTATCCTGGATTCAGTTTCTCTCGGTAAACTGGTGGAACGAGACATATATTTTCTTCCTGCCGGTAACTCCACTCTTCTCTTAGAAGATGTTGAACAGTTTAAGGATTACACCAAGGATCTAGCCTTATATGAATGTTTACTTCCTTCTCCCCCTGCCACCTCGACCAGGCTCTCCAACAAGTTCAAGGACGCTGAAACCATCTCACACAAGAAGATTCTCTCCGGTCTTAATGTTCTGATCATCAGTAAGAACAAGGAGTTTACTGTAGACTGGCAGAGTGTTCTTGTTGCTATGGGAGCAACTGTACACAAGAGGTTTAGTAATTCTGACCGGCTCAGTCAGATTAGAATACCGGATGTAGTTGTGGCGGACAGTGTTGCACCTCAACCTTTACTCCAGGTTCTATTCTTATTTTTCTGTCAATTAATTCTAATTAAGGTCTAAAACTGTTGCGGGAGATAGCGCGTGATCCACTGACAACTTTTAAATATATGAGAAAAGTGCTTATTCCCTGAGTGTTGGATAAACCAAGGGATACAAAATGAAAAATTTATCCTTCTGACATTAAAAGATTAACAGATAATTTCTTGATCCTTAATTCAGAGCACAAAATATTGTCTTTATATATTTTTAAAGGGAGTTTGTGCAACAATCGACCCAAAAGGTGGACCTCGTTGTCGTTTCTTAACCATGACTTTTTTAATGGTTAAGGGAGTCAGAATCCGATTTCATTCATTATTCTAATATTTTGTATTTTAAGTTGTTTTAATTATGTCAAACCCAGTATACTCGCATATTTAACCTGGCAAATACATGTTTATTCGTTATATTAAGGGTGAGCAGAACAACGGGATCAGCGTCGTTTTAGAAAACTCTAACATACCATATCCTGTACACTGGTACATAAAAAATATAAATTTGCGTGACCATTTTTTGGTGAAAAATAATTTTTTCATAAATGGATTGTATATTATATCATATCATATCTGTTCGGTTCCATAGTAGTAAACCTATCGTGTAAGAATTCCCATTATTACACGGTTCAGGAGGAACAATTTTAATATTGTTCGCTTCCTTGCGTTTAAGAATGCTTATTCTTACACTGTAAGTGTAGAATTTTCATTCTTTAACGCTCAGACCGTGTAAGAATGGGAATTATTACACGGTCAGAGCGTGAAAGAATGTATATTCTTACACGCTCCAAGCATTAAAGAATGGAAATTCTTACACTAGTTGAAGAATATTCATTCTTACACGCTCCTTATATTGATCTTTTCAGTATAGATAATATTGATATAAGATTAATTATTTTGTACCGACAACATGCACAGGGCAAACTCACTTTTTTCTTTTACATTAATACATGCAAACTTACCTTTTTTTAACTTGAAAACAACATGCTCACTTACCTTTTTCGTTAATATTAAAACATGCAAACTTACCTTTTTTACTTTAGTAAAACATGCTCAATTACCTTTTTCGTTTTTTGAAGTATTGATATACCTTAATTCAGAAATATCAATTTGAATCTCAACCCTAGTCCTGACAGAAGAGTGGAAATTAACATTTTCTGACCTTTCCCAAAAATATGGACGATGCCTTTAGCCTTACATTAGACACTTTCATCAAACTGCCGAGTCTTAAATTTTTTTTAGTTCATTTTCATTTCAAACCAAGTTTGGTGAGATTTTGCAAATCTCTGCATACTTGTAATAGTATGGTCAGAGCTTTTCAGTCTGAGTCACCATATCTCGCATAGTTCGAGATGATGAAGTGAAACCACAATCAAAACCAAAAAAAAGTATAAAAACTTATCATTGAAATATTAGTGTCACACTTTTGATGGAGTCTTAGCACTCCATAGCAATGAAAACAAACCAGTAAATCTTGCTTCATGAATAACAGACAAAGATCTTAATCAGTTTAGGTCGAACTGATTCTTACTAGATAACCTGCTTTTATCTCCTCTTTTTGGAAGATTTAGGATCTAATATCCAGAAAATGATTTCTTCTATAAATGAAGACACGATATTGTTCAGTAGATTAAGACAACCCACCACTATACCTTCTCTCCATCTAAAAAACTCAGGGCACATTTAACATGCTGAATCTAAATGTTGTATCAACTTAAAAAACGAGCAAAATCATTGGTAAACAAACAAACTAAACTAAGGAAACAATCACACCACATGCATTACTTTCAAATTAAGAACCAATTTTTACTTCTAAAATGTTTTTTTTTAACATTTTAACATTAGAAAAATAAAAAACAGTGTTAGTCAGAACAAGAGCATAAAACTTATTTGCAACCTTTCATAATGTGAACTGTTCCAACTTGAAATAGTCGGTTTTCACCAGAATTATTTTTTAATATAATTTCTTGGGTATGTGCCCATGGAACCTCACAAATATGATATTATAATAATCTTATGAGGATAAAAATGTAATAATGGTATTCTTAAACTCGATGAAATAATCTTGATCATTCTTTAACTCAGGCCTGCGGCCTTCGTTAAAGAATACATAAAGATTATTTCATCTCGTTTAAGAATTTCCATTATTACATTCTTTTCCTCATAAGATTATCATATTCCAGTTTTATTAAAAAAATCTATTTCAAATAATAAAAGAGTTAAAAATATTAATAAAAAATTGCTCCAAATAAATCTTACCAAATCTTAACCATGGCAATAAAACTTTCTATTCAAACAATTTTCTTTGCAATAATTAAAGTATTATATTTAATTGCTCAAAACATGAACCCTTTATAAAATATTTTGTTGTGTAAAACAATGCTAATACCCGTTGTTTTTTATTCACATTGAAGGGTTTTTATAAAATTAATAAAATGTTATCAGGGACAAAAATGATAAGATTTGTATAAGATCATGTTCATATTTAGGATCTGCAGAAGATACCGGATTTACCCATAGTCAACACTAACTGGGTCATTCAGTGCGTGGTGAATAACGCAAGAGTTGCGTACGGGAACTTCATCACAAGCTGCGTAAAATAACTTCATTAAAAAACACATCTTCTCCCCTTCCGTCTAATTTTTAGGAAAATTGTCTTGGCTTCCATGCATTCCTTAGTTTTATTTTGAGGCAGCATCCTGCACTGAAGTTAAACAAGTAGTGACTGAAGTTTTGTACTCTGCATGTTAATTGTGTTAAGCCCGATAAAATTTTAGATCTCCATGTTTTATTGTTTACTGTTAAAACATGTTGCCAATTGTTCCCAAAACTATAATTTTACTAGATACATTGCATATTTTGTCCAGGGTTATTGTCTACAACGTTTCTTGTCTATATTTCTACCATAAATCCTGTTAATATGTCTAAAACATATCTTGTCTATTGTCTGCCACATCTCTACATTTTTACCCTAAATTCCGTCTACATGTCTTCAATAGGCCAGGTCTTGTCTATTATAAATATCTCTTGTCTACCATTCTTTCTACATGTCAATTTGTCTACCTAACCATGTTCCTTTTGGTCCTAAATCCTTTTCTACCCTTTCAATCTGTTTACTAGCCCAGGTACACTGTACATTGTGTTTTGTGGATGATCTGTATTTCTTAAATGCAAGAAATCACCTTCAGACTCTTAATCCTCAGAAAACTTCATTAATTTTAATTTTTTCACATTTTTTCAATTTATAATTCGTAGAATTCAAAACCATCAAATTCAAGTTAATGTAGTAAATGTAGTGTGATACTCAGTTTTAAATACCTCGTCTTCTATTTATTATTTCTCTTATCTAACTTAATGATTATTGATTAAATTAATAATTAGCTACAACGCTGGATAATCTACGAATTGAGTGTTATTGTGATATTTGCCAACAACGGCGTAAATTCAGTGTGATCACTTTTATTTGGTTTCAGACCTGGATACAATGTTTGTCAATGGAAACAGATTCCTGAACTACTATATTACGACAGGTAATACATGAAGGGTGTCGCTGAAAGAATTTTGTGAAAGCTTTGTCGTCCAAATTTCGTTTTCTTTTATGTCGATAAAACGTTCTGTTCTAAAATGTCGCTTTAACCTTCAAAAGAAGGCCTAATATTTGAAACCGTGTTCGGTCTCTTTTTCAAAGATTTTTTCAAAGCAAACTAAAAATATCGGAGATAGATTTGTTTAGTAACGATACGATTTTTTTAATCCAAACAAGGCAAAGAGTTTATTTTCGTTTTAATTTGGATTATGAAAAATTTCTTTTTTCTATTTCAAACGACTTCTGGTTAAAATTATCTTTTTGAAATTTTTTCAGATGGTTTGTTTGCCCAGCAAATCGGTTTGTTAAACTAATTTGGTACTCTATCGATAAAAATGTTTTATCTTGAAAAAGAGACCGAGCAAGTTTTCGAATATTTGGCCTTTTAGAGAAAAGTATTTTATCGACACCCATCCTTTTTTTAGAGGCCCCCTGTATTTATTTATATTATAATCGTAATTTTCTTTCTGACATAGCATGGGGACTGGATATTCAGTAATGTGAGAATGGGTCAAAAAATATATTTTGATTAAATGTTTGTTCTGTTGCTAGGAAAACCAGAAGAGCCTTCACTTTTGATCCCATTTCTTGCTAAAAAATGTAAACTTGTTTTATTTCTCTAAATAACTTTTTGGTTTTGCTCTTTTTCGAATGTTTTTAATTGAAAAATCATAGCTTTACTTAATTCAGTTAGTTTAATATTACATGTTTAGATATCATCCAGATTTTCATTTAAATTCTTTTTGAAAAATCTTAACCTCCATCAAGGGCTTTCGAGGGGGGGGGGGGGGCACCCATATAAAAATACGTTAAAATCTCACTTTTGCCCTTAACTGAAAAAGTTTCAATAAAAAGCTTTAATCAATACTGCCTTCAGTGTAAATGTATCTTTGATATCATTATTTATAAATATACAATATGTATCATTTCTATGAAAATATAGATATTTTTTAAGAAACGTTTCCATCTCATTTTTCACCACAGTATTAAGTGTCTGACGAGTTCACTTAAGAAAATTACATAAATAATTTATTAACACGTTATATGGAAGTGTGTATGATCGAATAGTTTACATAGTTAAAAAACTTATGAATATTTTTTCCAAAAGGGGTTTTAAAGTGCCTACACAAATGCTCTCGTACGCCCCTGACCCCCATTAAAACAAATAACTTTATCATTATAACCCTTCTACTTCGATTCCTTTCATTTATACTTGCCTATTTTTAATTTTCACATGAATAATAATACGATGTTGGAGAAGTAATAATTTCTTTAAATTCTGAGGAGTAAATGAAGAAATATATAAAGAATTTTCAGTTTTATTACTTATACAATCCCATAAATCCTTCCAATCCTTTTAACAAAATGTATCTGAAAAATGCCTAAAGTTGTAAATGTTATGACAACAAATGTGATTCAACTCCGACCGCTGAACACATTTTATATTATTTTAATCATGATTTATCATTTTAAATTAAAACTTTAACTTAAAGGGACTATAGAAATAATTTTAAGTGACTCTCTCTTTACAAAGAGAGATGTCAGATTCACACAGGTACCCTTTCGACTAAAGCAACAGATCCAATGAAGAAAATTGTCAGCGTTCAACACGTTTGTTTTAAGAGAGAAAAACGTAGATATCTTTCTAATTGTTACTCAGATAGAGGTCTAAAGGGTATGATTCTGAATTCTTCCAAGAAAAGTTCATTATACTTTGGCTTAAGGGACTTAATAGCTTTGCTCCATCTCAAATTTAATAATCCCTATATTTTTTAAACCAGGCTATTTGATCTAGCAAAGGAATTGAGTTCTCGCAACAAGCTCAAATCGTATAATCCCTATATCTTTGCATCCTGATGGTCTAATCCTTTGATATACAGTCATAGTCAGAAAGACCCGGAATTAATTGATAGTTAATCAGGTGATTTTACATTTATATCTCTAGCAATTTTAAAATTTTCAAAAAATGCAGACCACATTGGAAATCGTATGACTATGGCTATTTTGTGATTATAGTTTCATCAATCATATTTGTAAAATTAGATTGTAAAGTCGTCTGACTAATTGTAATTTCTGATTAGCACTGTATACAAACTAGTTGATCTATCAGAATTCATAGTTTGAAATATTAAAGGTGTACAACAGATCAGGTTGCAAAGATATAGGGATCAACAAATCAGAGTTTATGACAAGAAATCAGTTCTTTTCATTTTTCTATTTGCAACAAAAGTAAAGTTTGAGACTAGTCATCGTTATCTTTATTTCGACTTGATTCTAGTATTTTAATGCAATATTTCTTTTTCAGGAAGCCTTAGAAAGGAATTGAGTGCTATACAAAGAAACAGATGAGAGTAGTTTCGTACAATTCGTTCTTTACGTCAACCAGAAATTTTGGTTATTGAACTTAGTTTTTTATTATTTATCTGCTATCCAGCCAAGAATCTGACTCCCAAACCAAAGAGAAGAACTCGTGAATTCATGTGTTAAACATTGCGGATTTCCCCCCTACTCTCTTTCTCTCTCTCTCCTCTGTTCAGTGACAGGGTAGCGGAGACTCAGACTGTATCGTAGTCGAGGAGTCGTGCCGGCAACTTCGTCGGAGCAGGATCTATCCTCCGTTACTCACATTTTATTCAACGCTTACAGGATCTTTTGGTTTCGTGACTGGGCTGCACATTGCACCATAGTGAATTCTTGTTATAAGACATCACCAGCTTTAAATAAGATTGACAGCCTTAGTCATAGAGTATTAAATAATCGTTAACCGAGATAATGATATCAGCGCAGACACTTTAAACAAGAAAACAAGACTTGTTTTTGTAAGATGTGAAAAACTGTAGCTCGTTAAGCTAACATAACAGATTGAAGACGTAGAATATACAAACCTAATTGTGATATACGAATAGGATGAATTCTGAAACTATTCTCCTTTTCACCCTTCTCTTCTCCAGTCAGTCAGGTAGGACGGGATATCATCATCTTTTTCATAATTTTAAATCTAGATTGAAAAATTCTGCCTTAAAACATTTTATCTTTACAGGAATCTTTAAATTCGTGTTTTAGTAGTTAGTATATAGCTAATTGTAATAATAGGACATAAATAAATAAATAAATAAAATGGTCAACCATCATCCCATGGGAGTCAGGACATAGACAACTTTTTACAGATGCAATTTATGTAATTCATCCCACTTTTGCTAAACGTACAATAAGTGCTTAACACTTAAAATTTTCTTATATCTATGATAATAAAACTGTCCTATGAGACGTAATGACATCACATTCTTGAAAATTGGAACCTTCTCCTGTACAGCGAGAATTGCGCCATTTTTTACTGTAATTATAAAGATAGATAAATACATAAATAATAAATATACATATATTTATATTTACTAGAAATTCAGGGCGCTTCGCGCCCTTCTTTCTAGCCTTAGAGAGCGCTTCGCGCCCATATTCTAAATTAATTGTGAACATGTTCTCTTAGTGTACATCGTAAAACAAAACAAAAATAATTCGCGGATTTTCACAAAAATTTCGTGGATTTTCAAAATTTTGATGGAGACGAATATTTAAAATTTCAATCATTCATAAACCTTCCCTGGGGTCCCTAGATGTCCCACAAAAATTTGGGCCCGATCGGTTCAGCCGTTTTGACGTTTATTAGATACAAACAGACAGACAGACAGACAGACAAACAGACAGACAAGCCAAATTTATATATAGATAAATGCTATTTAGTTTTATACTTATTTTTTTTCATTATAAAACTTTAGATGCAAGTTTCGTACAGATTTTGTAAAACATATTTTATGGAAGGAATTATTACAAACACAAACATTTTATTTAGAATTTTTAAATTATAGTCTTAAACAATTTAAAATTTTAATACTTAACTAAGTGAAAAACAGAACAATAAGTGAAAACTGTGAAAACTATATTAATTACTTGGCTTTTAGGGCGCTTCGCGCCCATCTTCTATTTAAATTGTGAACATGTTCTTTTTGTTTACATTTTAAAACAAAGAAGAAAAAAATTTCGCGGATTTAAAAAAAATTTGCGGATTTTCAAGAATTTAAATTTTTTACAAAATTTAAAACCTTTAAAACACATTTTTTTTTCATTCGTAAACCTTCCCTGTGGTCACGTGATGTCCCACAAAAAATTTGGGTCCGATCGGTTCAGCCGTTTTGACGTTAACAGACAGACAGACACCCAGACAGACAAGCCAAATTTATATATAGATATCACGAGCAATATTTTGTCACAGTGTACAGCGTAAACTGTGTACATTCAGATCTAAATACTTTTATTTTGTTTGTACTGTATATTTATTGTCTACTGTATACTAGCATCTATTGAGATAAAACCACTGGATTAGAGTATATTCTTATAAAGTGAAAATATACATTAGGACTACGTTCTTGGCTATATAAGGATCAAAAGAGGGTTTAAGTTGAGAATAATCAGAAAAAGATGAAGAGGAGTAGGAAGGGGAGTAAAAGGAACTAGTTTCAAGTTATTTTCTTGTGTAAATAGTATACTGTAAAGTTTTAAACGTGGTGCTGGTTTGGATCCTATTCTAGATATCCTTTCTAGGCCAACGTTTTAACTCAATATCCATTGTGAAAACTTAATTACTCGATGATTCTAATTGGTCGGACCTTAAAAGATATTTAAAAGGTATTGTCTAAAAGGGACTGAATGCTTGATTTTAAGAACCTCTAATTGAATATGGCATTTACAATGGTAATCTTAAAAGCTTTTTCTGATCAAGTATGAATTAGATGTGAATGCTTTTGTGTCTTTTAACTGTTTACTTTCATTTGTGGTTTCTCTGCAAAAGTGACTTGTGAATTTCTGGCTTTTATGAAACAATGAAAAAATTTCACAAAAAGAAACACGTTTTCTTTCACTTTTTTGACCAGATAAAGAGTACCGTTGTGAATCGGGCATTGCTATCTTTGCATAGAGGGTCACTTGAGATTACGTTTACTTAAAGTCCTTTTAATCAGTTTAATTGAAAAATATACGGTTTGTGGTTTCTTGTTGATCAATACAAAAATTTGACCTAAGGTGTTTTCTTGAATTAAATTCTGTTTTTTATTATTTGTCAACTGACTTGCAAAACACTTAAAAATTAAAGAGATTTTAAATGTCAATTTTCAAATTTCAGGCTATTTATTTAATGTGGTTTTAAGGTTTAATCTTCCAGTAAAGAAACCCCAGTTTAATCTTAAGAATAAAAAACGCGCAAATTTCCGCTTTCCAACTTTTCTCTTTGGAAAGTAAAGGTGTGCACTTAGGGAATCTTTCTTGTTCTTCTTACTTTTTTCTTTCATTCCTTTCTTTCATTATATTGATTTTTATAAATCCACGACATATCTGTCATCGGTGCTTGGATAAAGATTTAATCATTTAAAGGAATTGTGGATCATTTGGCGACCTCGCTTTAATTTGATGGACTCTTAAAAAATAAAAAATATTTAATTTATTTTTCCCAGAGTTATTTCTATTCTGTCAATGCCATTTAAAACGGCCCTCCATTTTAATGCTATTTACAGTTATTCCAGGCCTCTATCTGCACAGTGGTTCCAAGTAGAAATTTGAGATGATTGATTTATTTTTTAGATCATTATTTTATTTCTTTGGGTTTCTGGACAGCAAAGCGGATATAAGATACGTCATCATGTCTTCCATTTCTGAACAGAAGCTTAAAGAGACTATCTACGTAATTTAAATTAAACCTTTATTTCTAGAACTAAATGCACAAGGGTACCTTTGATATTCTGAGCAAAAATGGTGGAAAATCCTTTTTTTTTCTATCTAAATTGACAAATTTAGATTGCTGTTTTCTCTTTAAATTGACTTTTGGATTTATAATGCAGAGACAAGGAAGAGAATTGACAAAATTTATTTCTACCTGTGACTCAGATAAAGATTTAATGGTACCGATTTTATAAGAAGGGTCACGATGGTACGGTTCAAATAAAAGGACATGAATAGTCACATTTATTGGTAGTTTAAAGATCACATGGTCGGGTAGTATGAGTCTCAATATGTTTTTGACGATGAGTTGAGAAAAGTTGGAGGAATGGATCTGAATATTCATTGGGTGGAAAATAGGAATCAAGAATTAATGTGTAATATAATATGCGGAGGCGTACACAGAGTGGGGGGGGGGGGCTATGATGGCTCCCCTTCCTACAGGGTGTCTCACATCATATTAGATCGTCAATCGGTTTGAATTACGATTTTCGGGACTGATCAGAAAATTTAAGAAGAATGAATCATTTTGAAAAATTGAATAAGGCTAATATAAGAATTTTCTTGCGGAAAATGCTAGGTTTTTCGAGTATTATGGTTTTATTTTGGCGTTTAAACTTGGAGATAATCTAATATGATATGGGACACTCTGTAGATCCATGAAATCTATAATTTCCAGGGTTTCTTTGGGCCCTAATAGGTGTTGTAATATTTAAAGTATGGATGACTCATGGCAAGAAAACCCTCCCTGGCCTCACACCTTCATGTCTTTGTTCTTTCAACAATGCAGAAGAATTAACCTGAACGGATTCATTAAGATTGATCAGTGCACCCTAGACCTTTGAACCGAACAGACGTATGAGTTAAGCTCCGTTTGTTCAACCAAAGGCTAGGGGACGGGCACTTCATGGACAGCTCTCAGAAGGCTTACAACATGTGGACTTACATGATTATATCTAACATGATCATATCTTCAGGAATACAATAAACCATGCATTAGATAGATATCTCAGGTTTACAGTAGAATCAGAGATATGTGGTTCCACCTCAGTACAGCTGGTTCAACTACCCACACACTCTAATACTCCAGATGTTTCTATGGTCAGAAAAACTGGAGCTATAGAGCAGACAATGGGATCAGAGCAATGTAGTTCCACCTCTATACAGCTGGTTCAACTACCTACACACTCTAATATCCCAGGTGTTCCTATGGTTAGAAACACTAGAGGCTCCGAGGATTGCTGGAACTATAGAATGGATAACAGAATCAGAGCAATGTAGTTCCACCTCTATACAGCTGGTTCAACTCCCTAAACCCTCTAATATTCCAGGTGTTTCTATGGTTAGAAACACTGTGGACTCAGAAGATAATACAGGCCAATGAATCCAGGTGAAAGGAGATCATGAGGATCTATCAAGTAGATGGGAGATCAACCGAGATGCAGAGCATCCTACAGATCAAGGAGATAACAATTAGATGGGAGATCAACAGAGATGCGGAGCATCCAACAGATCAAGGAGATATCAAGTAGATGGGAGATCAATCGAGATGCAGAGCATCCAACAGATCACAGAGATATAGAGCAGACAGTAGATCAACAGAGATGCAGAGCAGACTACAGATAATGTGGATACTGCAGATATTGTAGATACTGCAGATATTGTGGACACTGNGAGGTTTGGGTGTGTTATGAACTGGTACTGGGAATGAAAGTGAAGTCTTGTATTAACCCTCAAATGATGGGGGACAACGATTGATCTTGATTTCCCTTGGATTTATGTCTGGGATTGTAACGATATCAAGGGATTAAATGTTACAGTGTTGACTATGAGCTCCGCCGGCCCCCCCCCTCCCCCACGAAAGAAAAAAATTCCTGACTACGCCCCTGATAATATGATAAACATTATGTTTATCTTAGAATAGAAAAATCTAGTTCAGAATGAGAATTATCCCCTCTTAAAAGTTTAAAACCCCTGTATTAAGAAAATGTGTGGATGACAGATATATTTAGCTGATTTATTGGTGCATTTTTAGAAAGATTGTTGCATCTCCGCCTGTTCAAATTTGTATTCAAGGAAAAATTAGTTACAGTTTTTGTTGCAAAGAAACAAAGAATAAAACTTATTTAAGGGACTGTACAAGTATTTTTAAATGACTTCTTCCACAGAGTGGCATGTCTTATTCATAACGGTGCC